CTGGTCACGTTAGATGGGCAAAATTTAATGAAAAATAATTTTAAAGAAGTAAAAATTTGCAAAATAAAACTTAAAGAGTTGCTTAATACGACCCTTTAATTAAAAATATTTAATTTTCACGGACACCTGAGATATAAAAGGGTTTGCTAGGAGTAGTGCCATTGGAAAAATAATTTTTTTAGAAACACAAACCTTATGAGAAAGTTGTAGCCAAAGAAATGTTCTTTCTTTTCTCAATTGTAAAAAAGGTGTTGAAAATTTTTTGAAGCACCGAAAAATTGGAATAAAATAAAAAATTGTAATTTTCTACAAGAGAGAATTTTGTTAGATTTTTTCTGAGATAGCCAATCGATTCAGCATGTATTCATTAGTCTATGACTAAAATTTCATACAAAAATTCGCATCCGTTACGAAATAAGAAATAAAATACTTCAACGGGCCGTGTTTATGATTAGAGCCAAAGAGGTGTCATTGGAGTTTAAGCTGTTATTTCGTAACGGATGCGAATTTTTGTATGAAATTTTAGTCATAGACTAATGAATACATGCTGAATCGATTGGCTATCTCAGAAAAAATCTAACAAAATTCTCTCTTGTAGAAAATTACAATTTTTTATTTTATTCCAATTTTTCGGTGCTTCAAAAAATTTTCAACACCTTTTTTACAATTGAGAAAAGAAAGAACATTTCTTTGGCTACAACTTTCTCATAAGGTTTGTGTTTCTAAAAAAATTATTTTTCCAATGGCACTACTCCTAGCAAACCCTTTTATATCTCAGGTGTCCGTGAAAATTAAATATTTTTAATTAAAGGGTCGTATTAAGCAACTCTTTAAGTTTTATTTTGCAAATTTTTACTTCTTTAAAATTATTTTTCATTAAATTTTGCCCATCTAACGTGACCAGAGTCGCGATCAACCAAATTGCAGTCTACAATTTGCACTTTTTTCGATTGTTGGGCTCTGATTGGTTGATTCACTGTGACGTCACGGCACAGAAATTTGAGACACGCCCAAAACTGATTGTTGTCTAATCCACCTTCTAATATCCATAGTATTAATGATAGATTTTTCAAAATTTTCAAATTCGAATTGTTGTATATGTATTTTTTTTTTTAGTACTAATTTTGATTCGATGAAAACAGACATTTTACTTTACGTCAAGGTTTTCGCATTGCAACAATGAAACATAATTTTAATGATTTTTGAGCTCTCTGAATCGGTACAAGAAAAGTTGCACCCAATCAGAGCTCTTGGCAACAATCTGAAGCACAAAGCTTTTGTAATGCGCGAAGCTCGGTTTATTTTTAAGGTTTTAAAATATAAATTTTCTCCCCACTAGCATTTTTATAAAAATTAACATTTCACGAGAATGAGCTAATTCATATTATATATTATTGCGATAATTTTCCATTTTTTCCTGTTAATTTGTGAAAAAGCTTGTTTATTGGTGTTATCTACGATCTTTTCACGAGTGTCCCCAATTCGACGAAAAATCCATCAAATTACTTAGCAACGCCTGTTTTATGAACTTTGACATTAAACATCTCTAAAGTTCACACTCATTCATGGATAGCTGTCAACCCTCGATCCAACAGACAAAATTTATCATTTAAAAACCAAATCGGCAGACACACAAAAAAATCCTCCCTTGCCCTTTTTTCATCGTCAAGACTGAATAATATGGTAATAAATTGCTTTTGGTTCTCATCGTCGCCAGACACAAGAAAAGCAATGATGAGGGGGGAGATTAAAGGGATGACCTTTCGAATCGGCGGAAAACGCGTCATCGGCTGACACAAACGAAGTGGGCCACATTCTTTGCTCTTTTCCATTCAATCAAAATTAATAAATAATCCACACATAGGCGGAGTCTTTTTCATTCACGCCGCAGACATCAGACGACGATTGTTCGCGGAAAGGGCACGCAGGTGATTCACTTTTGCCATTTCGCTTCTTGGGGATGAACGTACGTCAAAACTGGCCCCGATTCAAGGAATTAATTCCTTGGCTTTCCTAAAAAATTAGCAACTCGTCTTATCTCTCGCCTTTTGTAAACTCTTGGTCAACACGCTGACACATGAGAAGAAGCGATATTTTCAATTAACCTCAATGAAGAAAGTAGAGCAGCAACTATTATTTGTGTTGGAAAACTATAAAAATTATTGGCATGAGTTAAAAAATTTCATAATAATTATATTTTTTTCTATACAGTTGTTTACACTCAATATTTGAATGTTGTATTTGATTTCCATTTAGAGTTGCCAAAAAATTGTTAATGTTTGCATTATTTTTGCCTCATGATGTGTATACAGAAATTTATTTGAAAATTCTGTCAAGATTAATCAATTGAATTTTAAATCTCACAAAATATTTATGTAAGCCAAATACTATATAAAACAAAGTTTTTTTTATAAACTTTCAGATTAATTTTAATATCTAAAATTTTCCAGATTTATTTCAAGTTTTAATTCATCCACTATCCACTGTAAAATAAATTTCTTATAATGTTTCCGCAAGGGGGGACTCTTCTCAATGCAGTATTTAGCAGGCCAAAATGGAGTTTTGTTTGTTAGCAAAAAGAGACACGTTTTGTTATTGTTTCTTTCTCATTGTGCAACACAAGCGACGAGGGATCTCTACCAAATATCCCGTGTCTATTCTATTCATAATTTAATTGTTGACTTTCGCCTGCCAACGAGAACGGATGTATGAAGTATATTCTGCCTCGTCGATAATATACGCCGCAGAGAAGTCTCGCTACTTATTAATGTATCGAATTCAATAGACAAATGTTTGCACTTGTCGAACGTAAAGTTTCATTGTTCGCGCGCACAATTGTGCGGCTACGACGACAAAGGAAGGTCTCACAGCCGCTTATCAATTATTCATTGACGCTCAATTTGCTTTGCAGACATTGAATTCGCTGCTCTATGAAGTTGCAAAATGTCAAGTTAGCAACATTTTGTCTGATTCGCAATTCAAACTATTTATCTAAGAGATTTGAGGAAATTTTTTTTCCAATTTTATGATCTTAAAATTTGTTATATAATTTTAAATATTTTAAAAACAATTTTGTTTTTCCGATTTCATTTTGAACTTTTTTAAGAAAAATCACATAATTCCTTAGGTAAGCTAAATACAAATGAATAAACTCTTGTTAATAATGTTTAAAAACCATAATTTTGAATGTAGTTGATTGTAAGGTTTTAGCTGCAAAAAAAATATATTTATGTCATACGTATTTACTTATTCTTTATTTGAAGAATTCAATCAAATTGTAGAAAGATCAAATATGGAAAAAATTATTTTGGTGCAATTTAATTTGTGTGCATAATTTCCTGTTTTGTGGCTTTTTTGGCAATCGGCCAATAAAAAAACCCAACAAAATATAAAATATTTACTTTCCATGTTTATATCGGAATTCTGAAGGCATTTTCCTCTTGAGTCTGTTTTGCTTCCTCTGAACTCTTTGTGCTGAGTTACGTTGAAAATAACTTGTTATAAGTTCGTTCGAAATAGAACTCTTCTCTCGGCTTGTGTCTATTGCACTCCCTCTCAGCTGGAATCACGCTTGTTTTGAATGAAAGTGTTTGGGTGTAAGTGGTGAGATCAAACACCGTCCCAGTCAAACACAAATAGTTAATCGCGCGTTTCAATGTCTATTCTTGTTCTTCCGCAGCAGATTCGACTGTTCGGCACAAGTAGTGAAATTATGCAAATTTTAGAGTAAAAATTATAAATGGCCAAGTTCATTCGCGCCGATCTAAAATTGGATTTCCGTGCGTCTGAGAGACTCTTTATTCACGCACGCAGACAACTTAAAAAAACTGGAGCAGTTTGTACTCGCGCCCCAGCGGAAATGCCTCGCATCTCAAAACACCTCTGCTGCACCTTGAAAGAGACACATGAGAGTGGAGTACTTGCTTCTTAAAATCAATTAAGAGCAATTTTTGGTTTCAATTAAGACTGCGGTTTTTACTACAAATAAAATTTGTTTCTGCCAAAAAAAAATCCATTTTGTAGATTTTTTAAAATGCAATAAAATTTTAGAAAAGAAAGAAAAGAATTTGTTGAAATTCTATTTGTAATTGAGTACTGAATTTAAGATCATCCAGAATAAAAAATGAGGTTCAATTTTGAACACATATATTTATTTATTATAATTTTGCAATCAATAAAGGTTGGGGTTTATGTAAATTGTAGTAAAAGAAAATTAAAAATTTTATGATATTTTAAGTTTTAATTGACTATATTTCAGAAAATTCTCTTTTTAAGAATTTAATAAAATATCAACCAAAATAATTTATATTACTTTTCAAACAGCTTTAAGTCGCTGTTTTCATTCCTATTTTCATGGTCCAATTGTGCATGCCAATAAAATCCCTATGATGTCTGCTTTGATTGCCGCTCGTCATCCAGCAGATTGATTTGGCCGCCAGGCAGGCCGGCGTCCTTGCCAAGGTCGTAATTAAACGCACACAAACGCCACGCAGCCTCTTTATTGCATAAAAGTCAAGTATCATTTAGGACAGGTTTCCTAAATTAATAATAAACACCAAAGCAAAATATAAAAAAAGTATTCACTGATAGTTTGACCATACAAAAAAAACCCAAATATAATTTGCTTCTCTATTGTTTATTTTAAAATATATTTTTGATTTTACAATTTCTTATTTAAATTGAAGAATAATATTTTAATATCGTTCAATCCTAGCTTTACATTTACTTATAGCATTCCATTTTTATTTTATAATTTAAAATAAAATGTTAGATCTTTCAAGATACGAAAAACGAGTCGATAAAAATATCAAACAATTTTACAATCGTTGTTTCTCTCTCAAATGCATAATATACGACATTCCAATACAATAAGTTTATGTTTATATAGCTTTAAAACTGTTCTTTCTTCTATAAATCGAAATGATTTAACGTAAACATATGCAACCCCGTAGCAGATCTGGAACACGGGTTGCATATTTCTACCTACTAGATTTGTTAACGCAGCTGCCACCTTGGAGGCAGTTGATGAACTTTTGGAAGGGGTGGAGAAACATTTAGCCACGTACTGAACTTTATTTTTATTTTTTCATTATTATTTGAAAATTTTAATAACAATAAAAGAGTGTCTTCAATTGAAGAGGGCTTAGAATTTATTACAATAATCTTTTAATACATAATAATATTATATATTTTAATATGACTCTTGATTTGAATACATAAATTTGCATTTTTAAAGCAAAGTTTATAGTTGCACATTAATTTTTTTCCATATATTTGTAGAAATACATCTTGACTCAATATTTTACATATTTATTCCAGCCAATTCAACATCAATAACTCCGTTTTACCATTGCGATTTTGAAAATATGTTTGTGGTAATCACGGAGGGGAACAGCACCGCTTAACATGATCACTATGTAGGGATATTTTTAAGAAGACGTGTGCGAAGACTCAAGTTAATATTATGTATATAAAATAAATATAAAAAATAAGATCGAAAATTTAAAAGTAAGTACGTCTCACAGAACGGCAGAAATAGTTTTCCTCACAATCTTTTGATTACACATATTATATAGATCTTAAGATTCTTGGTAGATAAACAGGACAATAACTGCCTCCAATGTGACTGAAATCAAAGGTTTGGAAATTATTTCAGTGGTAGAGCGATTATATCGGAGCCGGGTGAGGATAGATTCCGAAGAACCACTTCTTGCGCAGTTTGTCCATCCTGTTGTCCAAAGGGTCTTCCATTTCCCCTTGCCTAGGATACACCTGCGTATCGTACAGTTCCTGCAAAAGAAAAACGAATATTTAAAAACAAAATATACATTGCAAATAAAACATATTATAAATCCATTTTTTATAAAATTAAATTTAATTTTTTGTCATGACCGAGTTGAATAGCCAATAGTGTTAATAATAATAGTACTTAACATTTCTCTTATTACTGAAATGAATTTAAAATTAAATAAGTTTCTACAGTATTAATATTTTAAAATTATTGCTTTTGTTACTCTGATTTTTACTAACTTCATTTAATATAAAATGTAATTTTTGGTTGCTGGTGAAAAGTCCAAAATTTTGTCGCTTTAGAAACATAATTGAATTTCAAATGATTTTAAATAAAGTTTGACAGTAAGTAATTATGTTTTCTATTGAAGCCTTAACTCTCTACTAGATAAACGCTTATTTTAATTAAAAATAAACAAACGTTGCTAGCCCACCCTAGAAAATCATTTGAGCCCACCCAGTTTTCGCACCTGCGCCTCTGCTGACGAGGAGCACAAAATAGAAAACTCAGAAAGTGCAGTGGCCGCCGCATGTAAATAGTGCATTTGTGAGTCAAGGTCGCCGGTAGCTGGGTGGTCCGCGAGACCTCCGTGGCGTTTCTGTGTCTGCGGTGGGACCACCCGTGAGATTGGGTGTCATTAGCGCAGACCCACCACACGCTAGCTCAACCACCCATGCACTTTTACTACTTTTCACTGCGCGGTGGTCTCATTCTTAATTTCACCGCTCCCTCCACTAACAGTACCCATTTTACTACCACTCGGCGTAGTACAATCAGCTGATTTTACTCGATATTAAAAGTCTGTCAACTAAGTTTTCTTAATCTATTTTGAAGCAAAAATATTCAATTTAAAATTCTAAGAAGTTGCCAAATTTTTTATTTTTATAATTGCCATTGATGCTTGAAAAGATTTCCAAACCATGAAAAATTTATGCTTGAATCAACTTTTAATTGAAATAAATTATAATATAGCACCCAAAATTTAATCAAAAATTTTTTGGTAATAAATCTTCTGGATTATTTTGACATGAATTTCCATTTTACTTACAGGCTCCTCGATTTCGGGCTGTCCGAGCCAGAAGTCCAGAATCTGCGCCTCCGATTCGGGCGTGTGAGTGACCTCAGCCTGCTGCATGACCGGCTCGAAGCCCTCAGCAGTGACGGTGACCTCGTACACACCAGGGGTCAGCAGACGCCAGTAGTCGCCTCCGTGGACTGTCAGCATTTAAGGTAGGAAATTGCAATTTTTTTATAAATTATATTTTTTATTTACCTGAGGTCACGTCGTGCTTAATGTCGCACTCCTTGACGCATCCCTCGGTTATGTTTCGAACGTGGATAAATGCGTTTGAAATCGGCCTCCTGGTTTTTGCGTCGCGAACCACCCCCTTGATTCCAATGTGCGCCTTTTGAAAAGAAAAAGATTTTAATTTTTGGATAATCCAAAAAAGAAAAATACAACATGGGAGAATTATTTCAATCACAAAAGACAATAAATGAAATGAATACAATTAAAATATGATATATTTACATTAAATTTCTATTATTTCGTGTGTGGAATTTTTGGGGCTAAAAAATCAATATTTTTTTTTAATGTTAGGAGAAATCTTTTAATAAATTTTGTAAATTTATTTAGATTAAACATAAATTCATCCCTAATTTATATGTATGAATTTTGAGATTTAGTATATGCTGAAATTATTGTGGAATTTTTAAAATTATTTTTACCTGCCAAATATAATGCAACAAGGCATCCTTGTTGTTGTTCCACTCGCGCTCCAACTCACTCGCCTTAGGGTATTTGTCACAGCCAAGCTCGAGCGTGATTTCAAAATCGTTTGACGACAGGTAGTTAAAATCTTGCATACCTAAACATCGTTTTTAAATTTAATAACAGGCATTTAGAGGAATCCTCCTTCAATTACCGCCTTGGACGCTGTACCAAGCGGCGCCGTTGGTGATTCCCTGTTGCTTTCCGAAATTGTAGCCGTCGTAGCCGCAGCCGGACCGCTTCGGATCGCCCATTGTTGCGTGCTTTTTGGAATAAGCCAAGGCTAAGTGCCTGGAAAACTCGAATTAATTTCAACCTTTTTTTCGGATGAGTTAATTTTACTTGAAAGTTTGGTCGTCTGGGCTGCTTGTGTACTCAGACATGGCCCCAGTGCGGCTGGCGTCGTAAGGATAATTAGCCACGAGGTCGCCGCCATGCATGTTTGCTGAAAGTACGAATGGGGTGGTCATGATGAGCTTCATCACGGCCCGAGTCTCTGGCTGAATCTGAAAGCAAAGTTATTTTTTAATGAAAATTTCAAATAATATTACTTATTGAAAAAAAAAATTATAGAAAAAAAATCCAAAACAAATCAAAACTCACAAATCCAAGATGCTTAATAATATTTTTCTTATTTTTCTGAAAAAAAAAAATTGAAAAAAAAATTGTGAAAGAAAAAACTAAATTTTGGCTTTACTGGTTCTGTGAGGCGGTCGACTTGCTTGAGCAAGTGGTTGTTGTGCTCGATATGGTGCTCCTCATTGCTGTACATGATTCTGTCCAGGTCGGGGAAGTTCCTGTTCAGGTCCACGCTGCGGTTATTTGTGCGTCCTGTCAGGTAGTCTTTTGCGCCCTGAATTAAAAAAAAAAATAAAATATTTATTACTATTTAAAATGAGAACCCGAACCGTGTCAGTGGACAACTGCCAGCCGTCAGGGTTCATGCTGGGCAGCAAGTGGATGCGGGTCGAGTTGATCAGCTTCTGGATGGACTCGTCACCTGCCAGGTACTGCTCGCAAAGGTAGTGTGCCAATTTGAGGAGCAGTTCGCGACCGAGCACTTCGTTGCCATGCATATTGGCGATGTATTTGAACTCGGGCGCTCCTAAAATAAAAAATAAAAAATGCAATAAAAAGAAGAAAAAGTAAATAATAAATTAATAGTTATATTAAAAAAAATGCAATCAATTTACAATTCATAACAAAAGTAATACAAAAATATATTGTAAGGTCACTTTTTTAATTCTTATAATATGTAATTAATTTTATTAAAATTTTTTCATATTTTTTTCTGATATTATTTATCTTATTTGCAAGAAGTAAGTAAGAAATTATTGATTTAAGACGCTCTACTCATATATATGCAACCGGCGTGCCGTTGACGTCACGGTGGTTGCATAGGACAGGCTCGGTAGGCGTCGAACGTGGCGTTTCTTGGACTCGATTTTCTTATTATTCTATAGAGCTAACGAGCATGCAAATTATAAAACTTAGTTGTTTTGCTCCAAATAATTTCTGCCATTTCCTCGGAAGCCCGTGTTCCGCACGTGCAGGCCTGATGACGCATTTCGCCATCACAGCTAGGCTCTAATTAAGCGCGGTGCAGATAATGAGACGCTTAACAAACACATACAGGTGCTTGTGTTGGATTAGGTTTGATGGCCGTGTACAGTGCGTGATGTGATGGCAAATAAATTTTAAGCACCGTTATTGTAGAAGAAGATCTCAATAATTATATGTAGGTGAAGAGGTTTCAGAATTAAATTTTTTACTATTTTTACATTTATTTTTACAAGTTCTATTAGAGGATTAAAAAAAATTTGTGTGCAATTTTTTGTGCGTTCAAAACACAAAATCTTTACTTCTTTATCCCTTTGGATCACAAAACTGATAAAAGTTACGGGCCGAATAGGGAAATTTTTTTTTTTGATTAGAATTTAAATTGATAAAATTCCCACTTCCTGCATTCTCGTTTTTTGCTCTGTATGCAAGTTTGTTGAAGAAAAATATATAATATATTTTTAATGAAAAAAGATTAAAACTAGAATTTTTTTAAATTGTCTTTTCCACGCTTCTATTTAGTACGCATTATTTTAGGATTGACTTGAGTTATATAAGAAGGAAATTCTCTTTTGGTACATTTTAACGTTTTTTTAATAAACAATTTTTTTTAGATATAATCAACAATTCAGGTAGCTTTGAATTGCAAATTTTTTAAATGAAAGATTATCGTTAAATCTTTTCAAATATTCTGAAATTGGTGATTTCTGTGATCAGAAAAATACCATGATGTCCACTTAAACTTTTTTTTAAAATTTATTTTGGAATATTTTCCTGAATTTAGGAATTCAAACTCACGCAATTTGTGCAGTCCAGGGTGGGTGCTGAACTCGATCACCGACAGCGGGACGCCGCGGACGGACGTCTCGGAGAGGTTGTACACTTTGGTGATGCCCGGACACCTGGCGTGCACCTGCTCCAAAACGTCGAGCAGTTCCTGGTTGTTGTGGTGTTTGAACTCGAACTCAGTTTGGGTCCTGAGGGGCCCCGCGAGGGCCGCGGCCGCCAGCAGCAGCACGCCCAGCGCCAGTTGCATCTTGCAGTCGGACAGTGCGTGGCCGCCTGTGTCCAACCCACTCAATGGAATTGTACTTCTTCTTCAAGTTGAAGCAACTGGATCGGCGCACGCGTCTGACGTCACTGCCGACGATCAATACACCTCCGTTCTAACCCGTGCAGGCAGGCCTAATCCTTGCTCATAGGACTGCCCAGGGGACCCGGGGTGCAGGGGTGGCGCACGTGGGCGGACGGATCCGCCTACGCACCCTACTAGTGGCGCTAAAAATGTCAAAGTTCGCTCAAACATTGCGGTGCTTTATATGTTTCGTTCATGGAAATTATACAAACTATAAGAAATCAATTTTATTTTTTTAATTTTCATAATTTCACATAAATTGATAGGCGATTAATTCATTTTTTTGTTAAAATCCACCTCCTCAATTAAGGGAGCGGGTTAATTTTTTTTTACAAAATTTTAAGCTTGGCGGTTTAGACAAGTTAGACGACCAGAGCCAAAATTCTTATCAATAACAACAGCAACTGCACAAGTTAGATAAGATTTTCAGCACTTTTTCCCTTCTGCAAGTTTCAAATGCTATTTTGATGTTTAAATAAAATAGCGTGGTGCTTTCTGCGCCACTAAAAAGGGCACAGGCTGACAGGAATTTTCACTTTTCTACACGCCTGACAAAAAAAAATAACTCCTTTACTTGGTAAAGTCCAAAAAAAAAAAAAAAATCGTCCATGCCTCCCTCAAAATTTATGTTTTTGAAAAATTCTCCATTTTTTCTATAATTTTCTAGATTATTACATGTTCTCTTTTCCGCATTCCTTTCATTTTCCACTTTTTAACCTATTTTTTTCAATTTACTTTAATTCATGTTTGTATTTTAAGTAATTAATAAAAATTATACAATTTCCACATTTTTCTCATGTTTTACGGTCTTATTTGAAACGGAAAAAAATATGAATTCTATCATAAAATAATTATGATTCAATAAAAATTGTCTGCACCTCTCATGTAAGTCTAGAAATATTTAAATTGGCACAATTATTGTAATTATGTACTAAATTGTCTAGTCTGACGTACTCTTTGTAAAATTTCAGCCAACGTGATGAGATAAGTTGTTTTTAAGTAATTAAACTCAACAATCTGCGATTAACTTTAAATTTTTCCAATAAGGAGGTAATGTAATCTATAAAAAATATAAATTTCAATTTAGGCGTTTTTTTTTGTGTGCAAAAAAAGTGTTAGATAAATTTCTCCATACAAAATTATGCGTGATTTTTTTCTCCATCAATAAAGAATCTTAATGAGCATAAACTTTGATCTAATAATAAAATGTATCAAATTATTTATAAAATCATTTATGTAAACAACTAAAAAATTATTCTACCAAATATTCAGTCGATCTATTCGCGCGTTTTTAAACCAGCTGCCATCTGGCGGCGAAACGTTCTTACTATCCATGTAAATAACAAAATAACATTGATGGACAATATTGCAATGAAAGACTACCACCGTACCACCTGTAGTTTGTCCTGTGGAGTTCAGACAGGGTTCTTGTCCCAGTAAAAGTTCATACCACAGTTTCATTAAAATGGCAAGTTTGAATCACATTATGTTAGATTATTATTATTTTTTAAATTATCATTTGACTTTCTCATAACTTTTTTAAATTATTTATAACCATTTCAACTTTTTCATCCCTTGGCCAAAATTTACAAAATTTAAATGAATAGAAAAGAATACAATTCTCTGGTCTGTCTTTCACAGTCAAGCAAAACTCATTCAGCGCTTCTTACAAAACAAGAAGAGGAGGCAAAGCGCAGATTGGATGTTCTATCATCAGACTACTTAAATCTCTTTGAATCTTCTACAATGTACGACTGCAGCTTGCGAGTGAGGTACAATCATTCTTGTCAGAAGGTATGTTTCTTATTAACTAAAATAGCATCGTCTGCAAAATATTATTTTAATTTTTACCCCAAACAGGTCTTTAGGTGCCACAAAATTGTTTTGTCTGTTGCGAGCAGAGTTTTCCAAGCCATGTTTCATGGAGGCTTCAACGAGGCAAAAAAAGGGCCCGATGATGAAATTCTGATTGATGATACAAGTCCAGCAATTTTCGAAGCAGCCATGAGGTACAAGGAGAAATTTTTCTCTATGTTTGCAAAAATATTAAAGGGAAATGCATCATTTTTCCAGGTTTGTTTACTGTCGGAAAGCTGAGTTTGGAAACATTCCAAATGCTGCAGAAATATACATGTTTGCCGACAAGTGGCAAATTAAAAGCCTGAAGGAAGCTGCAGACTCGTTCTTAACTTCGGTGCCACTATCACTTGGAAATTATGCCTTCATGTTTGAAATCTTCAAACGGCTGAATCACGAAGCTGGCATGAAGAAGTGTATGGAGGTAGGTTCCATTCTGTGGTGTATTTCAAGTGAACCATTTAGTAATCTGTTCTCAGATGATTTCGACATGTATCAAAGATATTTTTCAAGGCGAAGATTGGAAAAAAGCATCCTTGGATTTCGTCATGCAAGTGATGAAAGAAGAGGATCTCGTGATCAACGACGAGTGTGAGTTACTTGAAGGCCTTGTTCAATGGGGAGCAGCAAACGCCCTGACAGATGAAAATGGGCAACCGTCAGACGCTCAGGTGAGAGAGGCAATCGAAGAACCTCTCAAAATGATTCGCTTTCTTACCATGGAAAACCAAGACTTCATAAATTTCTGCTCTGTCAGCAAATATGACATTTTTACTGTGGAGGAAAAGTGGAACATCGTAATCAGTATCACAAACAAATCTGCAGAAAAGTTGCCTCAAAACTTCAGCAGAGAGGAGCGCCAAAGATTTTCAGTCAAAAAGTTAATTTCCGTAAAATTAATTAGGGAGATGTCTTTTGTATATGGTCGTGTCATGGATGACCCTCCAATAACTTGTTTTGGGTTCAGAACAAACAAGATCGTCAAATTTGTGGGGCTCAAATTGATGCCATTTGAAGCTCACAAGAAAGATGAGATTTTCGAGCCAGATGCAGAATTTCTAATTTGCAATATGAAAAAAGAGAAAATTTTTGAAGGCTCTACAAAAGATTTTGTTGAAAGACTGGGGTTTTACAAAGCAAGGAGGTCGGTTGTGCTTGATGCAAATACCCAATACAAACTTTCTGTCAAATACCTAAATATGCCAGATATGTCTAAGAATAAATTATCTTATCAATATTTGCAAGAAATTACTAGCAATATTGGTGACTTGAAAGTGATTCTATATGGAGAGAGATATAATATGACCAGAGTGTGTGAACTTATTTTTGTCAATCCACCATGATTCCAATGATTTGATCTCGTTTTCATTGTGAGCTTGTGTGGCTCAAGCTGTATCACACAATTAAAAAATATGATAAATCATGAAAATAAAAATTAATGAGGTCATGCAAGGAGTATTGTATGAATTCGTTTTTATTATTCATTCTTATCCATTCCACAATTTAATTGTATTATTAAAAATAGTTATCACATTGCTCAACAAAAGTTCATTCAGAATGTATGTACCTCATCTGTAAAATTGATGAAAATTATATATTTTCAAGCTTTGAAAAATGTGTCTTAATTTCCAACAATACATCTCTCTTTCATTCTTTTTTTTAGTGTCAGGCCAAGACAAAGTCTTGTTGGCCTGTGCCCTTAATTGGTGGTGCAGAAGGCACCACCTATTTTTTTGTTATTATTATTTTGGGGTTCAACTTTATTAAAAATCCTCATGAGTTTTTGCAATTGTTTTTCATGCAGGCTACAGCCCATTTGGTTACATGGTAGTATTTTTATTATGAGCCAATTATGTGCATTACTTTTATTTTTCTTTTCCTTGATTATCTGAAAGAGGAAATTCAAATAATTAATCTGGATGAATTTTTGTTGCTGCCCTTTTCTTGCTAGGTGACCAATTTCAATGGATTTTTAATATATTAACGCGTTAGAAGTAGAGTTTAAACAATGATAATCAATACTTTTGAAATTTTGTTTGCAGATTCAAAACGTCTCCTCTGTTGTGTCAAATTGATGCTTGGAAATTTCAAGGTAAGTGCTATTATGTAAATTGAATTATAAACTCTAGATTTTGATTATTTTAAATACCATTCAACCAATGGTTGATGTTCAGTTATTGTGTTGCTGGAAAATAAAATCCGAATCAAAAATATTTCATAATTATAAACTTCAAAGTTTATTGAAACTTTTCACTTGAAAATCACATAGAAATAATTCAAAATAATGAATTTTACAAACTTTATATTATTTGATCAATTTTCCTCGGGAAATTCAAGGAAATCACACACAGTCTTGGGCAAAAGTCCCCTCAAGAGTTGAACTCGGTTCAAATAGTCTTTGCCGATGGCTCTGAGAACAACCAGTCTGCAAATGGCCATCAAGGTGCGGGGTGTGCCGCTCAGATCAGTCGCCAGGGCTCTCAAGTCTTTATTTCTGAGGGAAAAATTAAATAAGAATCAAATTGAAAATGCAATAAAAGTTTTGAACCTTTGTTTGTGTTTGGAGTAGGCAGATTTTCCGTTTCGAAGGCGCTGCAAAGGGTCTCCACCAAACTGGTGGAAGGTTCGCAGAATTCTGCATTTGGTGTTGGTGCTGGCAGTGCACTCGTGTGCCAAGAGGCGCGGCACACTGTGGGCGTCCTGCACTGCCTGGACCACATTGTGCTGCTCTGTGTGAATGGTGGGAAGGGCGCCTCGGAGCAAGAGCAGGCGGAAAATGGCCAGGTCGCCTTCGAGGGCTGCTATGGCCAAAGGAGTGCCCAGGAAAAATGACTGGATGCTGTTCATACTGTCAGCAATTCCATCCTGCAAAATTTAAGAAAAAATAATTATTGAAAATTATCTTAAAACATCTTAATTCCAAATGCATCAAGTGATTAATGAAATATTCAAAGTATTAAAATTTATATTTGCTCGTATGACTTAAATTTAAATTACCTTATATGATTGGAGGTAATCAAGATCTTCAGTGAAAGCTCCGTAGTCGAGCAGCAATCGAACAGTATCCACAGCTCTAATTCTAGCAGCACTCACAATGTAGGCACACCTGTTTGCATATGCATTTGCGTTGGCAGATGCCCCATTTCTGAAATAAAATCAGGTGTTAAATTTTTATGAAAATTACAATACAATATTTCATAAAAAAATATTGGGTGAATAGTTAAAGTAAATTTATAAATTAAATCTATCTATTTTCCAATAATTCCAATAATTACTTCAGTAAAATTTCTGTAATATCTGGCAAGTCCCCAAAAATGCTGATGTGAACCGGAGCTGTGGGCGAGTCGAGGTTTGGATCGGCACCGGCGTTCAGCAGAAACTCGACGCACACAGGATGCCCATAGGAGACTGCCCTGAACAAAGGGGTGGCGTTGCTGTTGGCAGGGTGGTGCGAGTTTAGGCATGAAGGGTTTCGACTAAGCAGCCGCTGCATTTTGGCCAAATCTTGCTCAGTTTCGTTGCAGTCGACCCAGTGCAAGGGTTCGTCTTCGCCATAATCTTCCTCATCCTCCTCACCATCATCCATGCTGAAAATCTGCTCAAATAAAACGGAATGATTTATTTCAATTCAATCGAAGACGCAAAAGAATTAATTTCTCTTACTTTAAATATAATTTAAACCTACCTAGAATTGGGATTTATATACTTCTATTCTAAGAGAGATTTATTTTTCCATTGGAAGTTTTTTTACGAGACGAAAATATGGTAGTTCTTTGTCAACAAGCTTGAAGCAGCTGTGCTTGCAGCTGTGTCCCGCTGTGTCCTCCCCTGTTCAAGCCCCCTGCTGGAGCTCACTTGATCTACCACTTTGGGCTGAGTAGGCGCCAAAGCCACGTGCCAATTTTATTACATGTTGTGCTGCGGTTTATGATTGCCAATATTTTGAGGACATTTTAAAATTAAAATCAAATTTTGTATATTGTATATTCTCTTTTATTTCGGTAACCTGTCAAACATAGTTTACGGGGGGAGTAAATTTGATTTTTGCTTTTCGTTTTAATAATTAGAGATAACCAACAATAAATATAGCAGCTCTACTATCTATTCAACCGTTTTCTTTTTTTACGTATAAGTCAAACACAAAAATAATAAATTATATTCACTGACGCGCCGACGACGGAGGCTTAACTCGAAATGATGTTCGTTTTTTAACGGGGAGCCCCCAACAGACGGGCAACCTTTGAGATGGTAAAAGTGGTGCAGTGCGGGGGTGCCATTCAAGTCGGCGGCAGGGCTGTTTGTTTGGAGGACGCTTGGCCCAGCCGTCGAGAAAATGACCCCCCGATTCGGTTGCCCCTGTGTCGAGAACCCCCCTCATTAGTGGTGCAGGCGAGGAAAACCCCCCTAGTGGGCGCGTCACGACCCCAGGATCAGGGCTGTAAATACGTTTTGTGGGTTAAACAAAGAAAAAGTAAGAAGCTTAGGGGTGACAGGTGGCGAGGGATGCTCTGTACAAATAGTGTGGGGGCAGGTCACTCCGCACTCCCCCCTCTCAGGGTTCAAAATTCATTTTTCTCCGGACCTGTGAATTATTACTGATTGAGTTTCTCAAAAACGAAACGAAACGATTACAATTACAATTCTTAGTCGTCAATAAAAATTCAGTTAAATAAGTAAATCTCATTTTTCGCCGGGCGTGCACACGTTGAGGGAGAATGCGGCAAACGTTTCGCCCTTCTTGCCGATCGCTTTGGCCACGTACTGGCCCACGTCTGTCGCGTTGCAGTTGGTGACCTCAAACTTGAACTTCTTCTTGCCGTCGAGCGACATCTTGTACTTGCCGCTGTCCTCTTCCACCGGCTTGCCGTCCTTTATCCATGCAACTGAATTAAAAAAAATATTAAAAGTTCAGATAGTCTGTTTGTAAACAATTAAAATGTTACCCTTAAGAGGTGTCTTCTCAATTTCACACTCAAACTTGACGGTTTCACCCTCTTGCACTGTCGCAGACTGGGGGAATGTTTTAAAGGCGGGGCTCTTGGGCTCCTCATTGGGCACTGAAAATTTTTAGATTGAAATTAATAAGTTTTTAATAGATGTTGTGAGTATTAAAGTGATAGAGATAATAGAAATTAAAATTAATTTGTCAGTAAAATATGAAACAGTTCTTTGTTATCAAAAGATATGGAGCAATTCAAATTTATTTTTAGAGCCAAGAATACTATTTCAAAAATTTTCTTATTAATTCGATTGATTTAAAGTTTAATTAATTATTATCTGAATTATTTTTCTCATCTTTTCTTTATTCAATGTAAAAATTAATTTCTCAATTATTCTAAATGGAAGATTTTATTAATGTTATGAATTACCCTGGACGACGACTGTGCAGCTGCTGAAGGATTCGCCAGCGTCGTTGAAAGCCTCGCACGTGTAGATGCCAGAGTCTTCTGGGAAGATCTCGGCGATGTTGAGTTTGTAAGAGTTGCCCTTGTTCTCGTACTCGAAGTCCTTGCTAGGCTTGATCTCCTTGTTGTTGTGCAGCCAGATTACGTCGAACTTTTTGGCTCCTGAAATTTTTTTCGATTAAATTCATCACTTGAAAATCTACAAAACTAAAACTGACCTATAATCTTGCACTCGAGCGTAACCATTTCACCGTCATTGACATAAACTGAGGTCAAGTGGTTCACAATCTTGGGTGGTTTGTCTCCAAGGTTGGCTCTGGCGGCGGCCGTCGCGGCATCCATTGCTGGATAAATGAAGAAAAAAAAATTAGAATTTTTAATTTAATTCCTACAACTTTTCTTACGGAAGACTTTGAGCTTGCAAGTGGTTTCTGAAGAGCCAATCGTGTTGATGGCCTTGCAGACATATTGACCCTCGTCCTCAGGGAACACTTCCTGAATCGAAAGGGTTGCAACTCCGCTCTTATATCTCAAGTCAATGATGTCGGAAGAGCTCAAAAGCTAAAAAACAAAACATTTTTTTTATTCTTAAAGAAAATTGTTTTAAATTTATGTTTACTTCTCCGTTCTTGTACCAGGTGACCTGAGGATCAGGGTCACCCTGGATACTGCAGGTAAGAGTCAAAGGTTCACCATCCTTAATCTGAAGGTCTGCCAGTTTCTTTGTAAAACTGGGCGGGCACATCAACGAGTCATCGGGAGGCACTGTTAATTTTTTTAATGTTAGTATTATTTAATTAAGGAAATTTTTTGACAATCTTACAAATTAATTCTTTCGTCGCGCTCCTCGATCTGGATGGACTACTGCTGGCGTTCAGGTTGTTTCCGTACTTCTTAATATTCCTCTTGGCAGTTTCATTGATGCTGGTGTCTGATTGACTAACTGCAATTGTGGCGGCCGACTGAAAATTTTAAAACATATTAATTAAAAATTTAAATTTTTTTATAAATTAATTTACTTTGTGACTGGAGTGACTGGAGCTTGTGTAGTTGTTTTGGACTGTCGTTTTCTGTGAGTTTACAACAATTTCTCTTGGCGGGGGTGGTCTTGCTGGACCCTCAATATATCGTCGGTCTGAAATATTGGAATAAAATAAGTATTTCTCTCACATAAAAATTGATAAGAAAAATGAGGAAATTCATGCAATTGAGAATAACTATTTCTAACAATATTCTATATTAAAAAGTTCTACATTAAGAATTAAGAAGTTTAAAGCATGCAGGGAAAATAATTTTTTTGTTAGATTTTCACTCGGTTTTTACCTCCAGAATACAACAGTTTGTGAGCTTCATCAGACTGTTCAGCTGTTTGCCCAAAGCCTAATAGATTATAGAGACGATAGTGATTATGATTAGTACTAGATAGAAATAGAAAGCAAGAATATAGATTTTTTTTTTAGTTAGGAAAGAAATTTGATATCCTTAAAGGAAACCAAAAACTTTCTTCTACTGAAAGATACACCGTCCAACATGCAGTGCCTGAAGAGAGAATCTGACTGAGTACATTTAAAGCTTTTGTTTGCATTGATTTTTTTTTTAAAATTGTACCTTCAACAATAACTACGCAGCTGGTCTCATCCTCTCCGTGCTTGTTCTTTGCCACACATCTGTATTTGCCGGAGTCTTCCGGTTTGGTGTCCAGAATTTCCATGGTGATGACACCGTCCGAGTGGGTCATTGAGTACTCGTACTTTGAAAGTTCTCGGCCTCCCTTGAACCATTTCACCTGGAAGAAAATATATGTATTTATTAGAAATTTTATTTATTTAATTTAAAAATTTCATTACTGTCGGTGTTGGTTTTCCGCTTAGACAACAGAGGAGTTTGCAGGTCTGGTGGATCTGCATAACGCGAGGACGCAGAAGGAAGGTGAAGCACGGCGCGCACTCCTTCTCTTCCTGCCACAAGGGATAGCCCACGGCTTCTCTTCTCCTCACCGGAGCGGCCTCTGGTTTGTACTGAGGAATTGCTCTCGAAATAGCTGAAATTTATTTTCAATTTTAGCAATTTTTTTTATAATCAAAGGTTTACTCACGTTGGACGTTGAGGAAGACAACTTCTTCTCTGTAGCCAAAGTGGTTCTCTGCCCTAATAATGTACTCTCCTCTGTCGTCGAGCTTGACTCTGTTGATGACGAAGGTGTAGTCCTCGCCGGCGTACCTCTTCATGAACTTAACACTTTGTCGGAGCTCGACGTTGTTGTGATACCACGAGAGTGTGGCGGTGGCGAGTCCTATCACTCTACACGTGAACTTGGCACTTTGTCCTTCATAAGCGAATGCACTCTGTGGCTTTATCACAAATCGCGGAGCGGCTTGTCTGCGGTCTGCAAAGATAATTCAGTTTTGAATTAAATTAGAAGAAAAAGTCTAACAATGACTTTATAATGTATCTTTTTGTTATGTATTTGCATTTTAATAATATTTAAGGTTTTCACTCCTGCTTTGAAATAATTTAAATTATATAACAGAAAATTATTATAGTGCAGCAAGTAAAAGTTATCAACTGATTGAAAGTTTTGGATTTTTTCCTACAATAAGTGATAATTGCTAACCAAATGATGTCTCATGGATGCGATATTTGTCAACAATGAGCTTCCTAAGGGCGCTGTATTCAGCCAATCGGCCGATGGGTACCAGGAATGAGTCCCAATCGCTGTATCTGGCACGGATCTTGTCGCGTATCCTGAGATACCTCGATTGGCTGATAATTTCTGTCCTATTGGAGTGGTCGCCAGTCAACCATGCGTGCATCAAACACTCATGGGCAGTCATGCGCTTCCTGAGTTTAAAAAAATTAATTTAAAAAAAAATAACCTTCAAATTTGGTAAAATTCGACTCACTCCTTATTCTTAACCAACAGTCTTTTGATGAAATCTTTGCCTTCCGCGGAGACATTCATGAAAGTCTCCTCCTCAAAGTCCCAGTCGCAGGCTTTCACGTTCTTGAGAGTCTCAATATCGTTTTCGCCTGCGAAGGGTGAGAGGCCACTGAGCAGCACGTAGGTCAGCACGCCCACGGCCCACATGTCTGTGTAGAAACCAACGGGCTCGCGCTCCACGATCTCGGGCGCCGCAAATTCAGCAGTGCCTGTCGAGATCTTGACCACCTCGTTCGGGTCCAACTTGGTCGCCAGACCAAAGTCGATCAGCTTCACGTTGGTGCTCACACGCGTCTGGCACATGATGTTCTCAGGTTTGATATCTAAATCAATTATTTTTTATTAAAAAATATACATTTCTTTATCTTTTAATTATACCTAAGTGAATAATGTTCTTCTCATGCATGTGTTTCACCGCCTCGCAAATTTGTCTCATGTAATTGATGACCTCAGCCTCAGACATTGTGTATCCCTCTGCAGTGATCCTTTCAAACAGTTCTCCACCGGACAGGCTAATGAAATTTTAAATAATTATTTTATTACTGTTTTTTTTTTCTTTTTTTTTAATTGAAAACTTACAATTCAAAGATCAGGACCATCTCGTCGTCATCCTCAAATGCATCGTGTAAATTGATGAGTTTGTTGTGGTGCAGCTGGTTCATGATATCGATTTCCTTTCGGATGAGCTCCTTCTCGATTGTGTGAGAAACGGGGATGAACTTGGCGGCAAAAATGTTGCCAGACTTGCGTTCCCTGCACCTGTGGACCACACCAAAGGCGCCAGTGCCGATTTCCTCCAAAATATCGTAGTAATCGTAGACACTGGTTGACTTGATGTCCACCGGCTGAGGGATGTACTTCGAATAGATGTCAAATACTGGAATTTAAATTATTTTTAATTTAAAATTTAAATCTACAGAAACTTTTATTAAGATTATAAATATTATCTTGTTTGGTCATCATTATCTGGATTAATTTTTGCTTTTAAATTAAATTAATAACTCTTTTTGATCGAATTAAAAAATTTCCACCTACCGAACTGATCATAGTCGTCAATCTTTCCTTCGGGCTTGCCACGGATCTTCTTGCCAGTGGCATCGACCTCAAACTGCTTCTTCTTAATTTGCTTCTTGTTCGTTTCCTTTGTCTTGACAGTGGTGGAGATGTCACTTGGGTCGCTGCGGCCATACACGTTTTCGGCGTACACTCTGAACTCGTACTCGTGTCCAGCGCTCAGACCGGTGATGGCCATGGTGGTGAAACGGGTGCTGCCCACCCTGATCCAACTGTTCATCGGCAACTCGCGCTTCTCCACAAGGTAGTTGGTGATGTTGCTGCCGCCGTCCCACAAAGGCGCCTTCCAAATGAGGGCCAGTGAGTCGTGACCAACATTGTCCGTCATTGGGAAGCGTGGAGGATCAGGACGATCTAAAGAGAAAATTAATCAATGCGATTATTTCCCAAAATTATTAAATATTAAATTTGAAAATATTTCTAATTTAATAAAAATAATAGTTAAATGGTTAACTAGTCTAAAATAAAATCTTAGGTAACTGAATATAAATTATTTTATCAAATTTTTATCTCCGATTTAAATTTAAATTTTTTTATTGATAAAAGTCCTTACCGCTGATCTGGACCTTGATGATGGCGCTGTCAGTTCCCAGATCATTCTCAGCCACAATCTTATAAGGACCGCTGTCCAGCTTGGTGCCGTCCCTGATGGTCAGGATGGCGTGCCTGTCTTTCCTCTCAACCTTGAAGTGAGCACCAGACTCGACGGTCTCACCCTCCTTGGACCAACTGATCTTCGGCTTGGGGCAACCAATGAATGGAATCTTGATGATCACATTCTCGCCCTTGTCGAAGAAGGCTGTGTCGCGGAAGCGAGGTGGCACGTTCAACTTTGGTGCAGCTAATTATAAAAAAAATTAATACAAAATTATTTATTTAAAAAAATTATATTACTCATGATAATGAGCTCGGCGCGGCTGGACTTAACGCCACCCTTGTTGGTGGCCCTGCAGACGTACTCGTCCGCATCCTCTCCGTACACCTCGTTGATGATCAGGGTGTAGGTGTTGCCCTCCTTCAGCATGTGATACTTGCTGCCCTGAGTAATTTCACGAGCACCCTTGTACCAGTTGATGACTGGTCTCGGCGTGCCAGTGACGGTGCACTGGAACTGTCCGTTCTTGTTCTGGACAGCCATGCAATTGCGCAAAGGAGTGGTGAACTCGGGAGGAGTGGCGGCTAAAATTTTCAAAATTCATTTTCCATTCTATTTATTTATTAAAATAAATTTTTACCTTTGGGATCCTTGATCTTGACGGAGGAGGAATTGGTGGAAGGTGGAGAAATTCCGGCCTCGTTGACGGCGAACACCTGGAACTCGTACTGGCGGTCCTCGATAAGGTTGCTGATGTTGATCTGGTTCGGCAGGCACAGCACGGTGTTGACCCTCTGCCAAGAGGAGCTGCCAGCCTCGCGTTTCTCGATCCAGTAACCCTGGACGCGAGCGCCTCCGTCCGACTCGGGCTTCTCCCAAGACAGGTGGACAAAGTCGCCTCCGACCTCCTTGACCTCGGGCGTGCCAGGTGCAGATGGAGGATCTGGAATAATTTTGTTTACGTTTGAATACAAAATCTTAAGTTCTGAAAATAATTTTCAACTCTAAATATTGATCTCTATATAAAATATTAAAGCAGCTTTATTTAAAAGTTTTGAAAGCAAATAAGTATGTTTAAAAATTAACTTTTTTCAATAAAAAGATCTAAGACTATAAATTGCATAGTAATGTAATAAATTTTGAATCAATTTCATTAATTTTCTAGAAAATTAGATGATTTTTTAAACTTATATAAAAATTTCACAATTATTCTAGTATTTATTTCAAGAAACACACTTAATTCATTCAATAATTTGATTTCTTAGATTCTTTCACCTTTAATTATTTTCTTACCGAATGGAGCCTTGGCCTTGATAGGATTGGTTCCCTCCAGTGCAGGTCCCATGCCGTTTTCGTTGACGGCCAGCACTCTGAACAGGTATTCCTGTCCTTCAGTCAGACCCTGGACGGTGAATGTGGTCTCCTTGCAGTAGCTAGAAACGGTTATCCAGTGCTGCAGGCTGATGTCGCGCCTCTCAACGACGTAGTGCGTGATCTTCAGGCCGCCGTCGTAAGCAGGCACCTTCCAGTTGAGGGTGCACATGTGCTTGGAAATGTTGGAAACGTCCAGAGGGCCGATGGGAATGCCGGGCAGGCCGGTGATGTACACGTTGAAAGACGCAGAGGCACTGCCGCTGTCATTCTTGCACGTGATGGTGTACTCGCCGCCGTCCTCCATATTGATGTCTTTGATGAAGATGATGAGATACTCATCAAAGACGGTGTATTTAAGATGGGGCGACTCGCTGATCGGAGTTCCGTTCTTTGAAAGAACGACTTGCATGGGCTGGTCACCGGTGTAATAAATTTTGATCTTGGTATTGTCCTTTTCGGCCAAGAACTGGTCATCAGGCATTCGGTCAATCCTTGGTGGAGCTGGAAAGAAAAAGTGATTAAATTAATTAATTTCACCAGTTTAATTTTGAAATTTAAGAAGAATGAAAAATGAATACATGAGAGAAAAACAAAAATGATAAATTAATAAACAAAAAAAAAGGAAATTATTTTGAAATTGTCCTTGGCTGTCATTGGATTTTAGAAAAAAAAATTTAATAAATATTCAGCTTTAAAATTTGATTAATTATAAACTTCTTGCTGTGTTTGATAAATTGTAAAAAAAAAAAATTTAAAAACAAAACTTCAAATTTTCTTACTTCCAACTTTAAGATAGGCGGTCGAGTGGACAAAGCCAAGACTGTTGCTGGCCTCGCAGGTGTAGCTGCCGTCGTCCATGCTAATCGCCTCCTCAATGAACAACCTGAACACTCCATCCTTAGATTCGGCGCGAGCACGAGCTCCAAGGTTGAGTTCGCGGCCGTTGCGGTACCACCTAGCCGTGGGCTTAGGCGTGCCAATGGCCTCACACTCCAGAGTGACAGACTTGCCCAAGGGCACGGTCTGGTTGGTGATGTTACGGACAAACTCAGGCTTCAGCCCACCGTCGATCTCGCAAACCTAAAATATTTTTCATTCAATTTTAATACTACATATTTGAAAAAAAAAATTATAATAATACGGACCTTCACTGGAGTGGTGCAGTTGCTAGGCTCACTCTTTCCAGCAGCGTTCACAGCAAAGATGCGGAATTCGTAGTCAGACCTTTCAACAAGGTTCAAGCAGCAGTAAGAGCAGTCGAGTACATTGTACTCGTTGCACTTGACCCAAACCGACGGACCTCCGACCTCACGCTTTTCAACAATGTAGCCGGTGATGCGAGATCCACCATCAGACTGAGGTGGCTCCCAGATAAGGTCCACGTAGTTCTTGCCAACCTTTAACAATTTAAATTTTTAAATTAGTTTTGGTAACGTTTTTTTACTTTTTGTTACTTAAAAATAAAATTTTTCAATCAATTTTTCTCACAAATTGATGATAATTTTTTAGCATCTGCTGATACTAGATAATTCAAAATTATCCTAGAAATCAGATTAACTAATTAAAATTAATTATATTTAATTTAAAATATTTAATATCAAATTTGAAAACAAATGTAGTTACAATAATTACAAATTTTGGGTTACTTTTTTTTGCCTTTCTTGTATGTTTAAAAAATCTTAATTTTGAACAAAGTGAATTTTCTTACAAATTGATATGAAATTTCAAGCATCCTCTAAATATTTATATCTTATATATCATATATATATTCAATTTTGCCAGAAATAAGTTTGTATATTTATATTAAAATTTTAATTATTGAATTGCTTACCTTGACAATCTTTGGTGCCAAAGGTGGAGAAGGCACACCAAACTTGCCCTTGAGCTTGAATCGGTGAGAATTATTGCTCGGCTTGCTGAAGCCTGCGGCGTTCTTGGCCTTGACTCTGAACTCATACTCGTGTCCAGTGAGCAGCGAGTGGACAACATAGGTCTGGTCCTTGAGCAGGTAGTCGCTGGCCTGGCGCCACTGCTGGTCTTCAACAACATCCCTGAACTCGAGTTTGTATCCCTGGATGCGCGAGCCTCCGTCTGAACGGGGCCTGTCCCAGGTGACGGTGACGTTTCCTGAGTCCCAGTCGACCACGCGAGGATTTCCTGGCGCGTCGGGAACCGTGAACGGGAACTTGGCCACGATCGGCTGGTCAGTTTCCAGAGGGTCGGAGACGCCATACTGGTTCTCGGCGCGGACCCTGAAGCTGTACTTCTTGTTTGGCTCCAGACCGATCACGTCATAGTGGCAGCTGCGTACAAAGCTGCTGACCTTTGACCACATCTAAAGCAAAATTCGCATTAATTCATTAACCTTCAATTGTTTTGATTAAAATTAATAGAAATTTTGAGATTTTAATTTAAACTTACTAAATTTTTAATAAAATTTTGAAATTAGAAATTAATTTCAAAATTATTTTTTGAATAAAAGAAAAATTACATTAATTGATGGATCAAGACGCTCCACAACATAGTTGGTGATTGGAGAACCACCATCGTCATTGGGTGGTTTCCAAGACAGAGAGCAAGTTTCAGGAGTGATGTCAGAAACATCCAGAGGTCCAAGTGGTGGTGTTGGTTTGTCTGGAATTAATAGAGATGTTTTTAAATGTGTAAAAAATAAAAAATTAAAGCAGAACAATTCAAATATTTTAAAACTTACCAACAACCAGGACCTTGCAAGAGGCGGTGTCTGACCCCTCGGTGTTGGTGAGCTGGATGGTGTAATTTCCAGTGTCCGACCTCTTGGCCGATTTGTTGATGAACACCGTGGCGGAGACGCTGGTGTCAAACTTGATCCTGTCTGAGCTGAGCACCTCCTCGCCGTTGATGGTCCAGTGTGGTTTAGGCTGAGGATTACCCAGGAAGGGCACGGTGATGGTGAACTCCTCGCCGGCGATCACGGTCATATCCCTGATGCTCAGGTCACTGGTGATCTTCGGCGGGCCGCGAGGTGGCTGGCAGCAAATGAGATCGGAGGCCGCGCTGAACGGTCCCTGGCCAGCGGCGTTCACGGCAGCTACGCGGAATTCGTACTCATGGGATTCAAGCAGGTTGATAATCCTAATAATTATATAGGGCAATACACATTTACACATCAATATTTGAAGGGGAAAAAATAACTTTCAAAATTAATACAATTGTAAAAAAATCTTTTGCACATTTTCAATCTTTTTAACCTTTTCTTATGTTTTATCTTCTACATTTTTGTTTTTATTTTTTCTTGCAAAAAAATAAATATTTTATTTATTTTCCTTTTTAAATTGATATCACATTTTATCAGTTTTATATTTTCTTGACGTAGAGGAACGCTACCAATTTAATACAAAATTAAAAATAAATATTCAAAATAAATATTCCACTCAATATCAAACCGTTTTAAATTTTAACTAATTTTTTTTATAAAGTTTACGTTTTCAGTATTTTTGAAATTAAATTTATAGTATTTTCATTCAATTTTATGTAAAAATGTTGTCCTACCTGTGGCTAAGGTCAGGCACCAAACCGTGCACAGCCCTGATCCACTTGTCCTCGCCCTTCAACCTCCTCTCAATAACATAGCCGCTAATAATGGCACCACCGTCGCTCCTAGGCTTGCTCCAGCCAATGGTGATCGAATCCTCAGTGGTGTCAAGGCCACGAGGAGTGCCAGGAGCAGTAGGTACATCTAGTTTAAAAAATTTAAAATAAACTTCACATTTTTAAATTTGAAATAAGAAGACAAAATTACCGAACGGATGCTTGGCCCTGATGGCTTCGGGAGTGACTGCAGGGTCAGACTGGCCGTACTGGTTCTCGGCAATGACCCTGAAGTCGTACTCGCGACCTACGGTGAGGTTGCGGATGCGCACAAAGGTGGTGGTGACGTAGCTGCTGACCTTTGTCCATGCAGACGTGCGCTGCTCCTTCTTTTCAATGACATAGTTGGTGATGTCAGCGCCTCCGTTGTCCTTAGGCGCGTTCCACAAGAGGGTCAGAGCCTCACCGGCAAACTCGTCAGCGCGCAGATTCTCAGGTGGTCCAGGTCTATCCAAAACGCGGACGTTCAAGGTGGCTGTGTCAAAACCGTGCTGGTTCCTCAACTGCAGACGGTACTGGCCGGCGTCGGTGCGCTTCGAGTTCTTCACAACCAAGCTGGCACTGTCGTCAGTCAGCTAGAATAAAAAAGGCGAAAACATTATTGTTAGAAAATAAAAATAATAATTAATTTCAATCGACAAAATAAATGCATCAAAAGGGGTTTTTTTTAAATAAAAAAATTATCATAAAACAAGCTTAGAAATTGATATAACAATAAATTGTTATAAATTTCTGTATGTATGTATCTCGATATTGTGATTGCTTCTGTGTCAAATCAATTAAAAAAAAATATGCAACTAATTTGAATGTTATTTAAATTGATATTAAAAAGATAAAAAATTAAAGAAAATAAACAAATATTATTGCTTCTTATAAATTAATTTTTAAATGCATATTTTTTTAATAAAATAAAATTAATAATAAACTTTATCTCATTTTGTTTCAGATTTTACCTTCATGAACACCCTGGTGTCAGTGTCGTCAAGGATGTTGTCATTGCAGAACCAAGAAGCACTGGGCTTGGGGAAGCCGACGTACGAAACATGGATGGAGAAGTCCTCTCCAGCCCTGACAGTGATGTCCCTGACGCCTCCCAAGTCCATGCAAGGCTTGTTGGGCTGCTCGTGAATCAAGATATTGGCGCTCGGCCTGCTCGGCTCGGACTGGCCAACTTCATTCACAGCGATCACCCTGAATTGGTACTCATCGCCCTCCTTGAGGTTAGGAATCTGGAAATTCATTGAAAGATTTATATTTTGATTTTTTAATTGAAAAAATAATAATTTTTTACCTTGTACACAGTGCTTGGGCATGGCACTCCATTAACATCGGACCATTCCGTGTCATTCTTGCCCTTCTTCTGGACAAGGTAGCCCTTGATTTTGGCTCCGCCGTCATTCCTAGGCGGCCTCCATGAAATGGTGACACTGTCCCTGGTGATGCGGTCGGCCTGGGGCTGATCAGGAGCATCAGGTTTGACTAAAATTTAATTTTTTTTCATTAATTAAACAAGTTATTTTAAATTATCTGAAATATTAAAAAAATGGACATAGACAGGGACTTACAGCGCTGAGCTCCAGCAGTGATGGGCTCGGTGGCCTTGCTAGGTTTGCCAGGTCCAGCCTCATTGCAGGCAATGACTCTGAACTCGTAGCGGTTGCCCTCTCTGAGATCTTGAACTGTGTGGCTAAGCCCGCTGATGGGGTAGTTGTTGCACTTTATCCATTCGCCACCACGCTCGCGCTTCTCAACGTAATAACCTAAAATTGAAAAAAATATTTAGAATTTTTTTAAACATTATAAATAATGTATATTTTATTATAATTTTATGTGAAATCTTACCAGTAATGGGCCTTCCTCCAGCATTGGCAGGAGGAGTCCAAGTGAGGCTGCAGCTGTTCGGGGTGTAAGCGGTGATGTCAGGCGTTCCAGGCGCATCTGGCGGGTCGAATGGGCTCTTGGCGACAACAGGTTTGCCCTCGAGAGCCTCACCCACGCCGTAAATGTTTTCGGCGCGAACCCTGAACACATAGCGCTTGCCATCGTGCAGACCCTTGACAGTGAAATTGGTCTTGGGGCAGAAGCCAGGGATGGCCCTCCAGCCATCCACGCCATATTCGGTCATCTCGACCACATAGCCTGATATTAAAAGAAAAAAATAATATAATTATTTTATTTATCTTCTTGGTTAATAAAAAAAAATAAAAAAAAAAAATTCATAATTATAACTATATTATAAAAAATTTTCCTACCTGTGATGTCGCTGCCTCCATTGTCCTGAGGGGGTCCCCATGAAAGCGTAACACTCTCTTGAGTAATATTGTCGTAAACCAGAGGACCCTTTGGTGGTCCTGGTTTATCGACAACCTCCACCTCAACGTCAGCAGAGTCTTTTCCGAACTGGTTTGAGGCAGTGATGACGTATCTGCCACTGTCAGTCCTGAGAGACTTCTCAATTTTGAGAACAGTCGAGTCGCAATCGGTCTCATACTGGAAATTAAAAATAAAATTTTAAATTTCAAATCTTAATTTATATAAAGCATTAAAAAATATATTTCTGAAAAAAATTATTTTTGCTTACAGCGATTCTGTTGGAGTCAGGCAGCTTGGAGCTGTTTCTGGTCCATTCGATGGTGGGCACAGGTGCTCCAGAAAGAGGAATCTTGGCGTAGATGGTCTCGCCAGCACGGACCTTGATTCTCTTGCCCTTGATGCCGGACAAGTCCAGTTTTGGTGCCTCTGAAATTTCAAAGTGAGATTTACACTCAATATCTTTTTTATTTCAATAACTCACCCTTCATAGGTTTTGCCGCAATGGGGTGAGAAGTGTCACTTGGTTTGCCAGGGCCAGCAGCATTGAGGGCCGTCACACGGTATTCGTACTGCTTGCCTTCATGGACATGATCGTCCAAGAACTCATTATTCTGTAAGTGTTTCATTAATTAAATTGAGCATAAGAAAAATTAATTTTTTTTCTTACTCTGACAGGGTCTCTGCTGACCTTGACCCAGCGACCAGTCATGCGCTCACGGCGCTCAACTTCGTAACCAATGATGGGTGATCCACCATTACTGATGGGCGCCTTCCACTTGATCTTGATGAAGTCCTTGTCGCTGTCAATTGGTTCAGGCCTGCCAGGACGTCCAGGAACGTCTGCAATTTAAAATAAACAATTAGTATAAAATTTAAAAGGAAAAAGTTTTAAATTTAAAATATAATTTTTCAGAACGTACCAAACTGGTTCTTGGCAACAATTGGCTGGTCAGTTGTGAGAGGATCAGAGCGTCCTTGCAAGTTCTCCGCACACACTCGGAACTCGTACTTAGTGCCCTCGAGAAGACGAGGCACCTGGGCGTGGTTGTACTTGGGATTGACATAAGAAACAGCAGGCACCCAGCCACCTCCATGGGTAAGATCTCTCTTCTCAATCACATATCCACTAAAATCAATTTTATGAGTATCATGTTTCAATTTGATTTAATATTATAGCTTACGTAATATCACTGCCACCGTTGTCCTTAGGAGGCTTCCATGACAGAGTGACACTGGATGAAGTGATCTCTTCATATTCGAGAGGTCCCTCAGGTGGTCCAGGGCGATCTAAAATTTTAAATAATTAATTACAATAAGGTATATTATGTTATTTTCTCTGGCTCTGATATATTCCCATAATTTTGAAATAAACCTAAAAATATTTTCTCAATCTTATCCTTTTAACAAACTTTCATTTTTTTTCATTTGCTCTGAATAATTTAAATTATCATATTTTTTAGATTCTTACCAAGCACAATCAATTGGAATGAGCCCTCATCCACGCCGTTTTTGTTCTTGAGCATGAGCGAGTATGTGCCACTGTCAGTTCTCTTGGCGTTGACGGTGTGCACAATTGTGTGGTAGTTGATGGAGGTGATGGTGGTCCTCTCATCAGATCTCAGCGCATTGCTGCCATTGGTCCATGTAACCTCAGGATTTGGTTCACCCACGTAGTCGATGTCCACGTGGAAAATGTGGCCGGCCTTGATGCGAATGTCGGCAAGGGGGCTCTTGATCTTGGGAGGCACTGTAAGATGAAATTTAATTAATGTTTATACTTATAATTTTAATGAAACTTTAAATCTTTTTTTAAATACATTTTACTTAAATCAACTTCAATCAAATTTCACTAGAAAATAATTGTAATTGATTTAATAATCTATAACTAATTCAATTTCTACTAATGAAAAAAGATAAAAGATATTAAAATATATTGCACAATTAAACTTACAATTCCTTGGCTTGCAGATGACAGTGTCCGAAGGCTCACTAGGCTCACTCTGGCCAGTCTTGTTGGCGGCAATTACACGGAATTCGTACTCCTGTCCCTCAGTCAAATCAGGTACAGTTGCCTATAATATTTATTTTTTCAGGTGTTGTATGCAAATTTTTTTATAAATTTTTTTATTCACTTACGCTGTTCTGTTTGCCTGGAACCTGGCAAGCGTTTTGCCAGATCGGACTGCCCTTCTCCTTCTTCTGAATGAAATATGTAGTAATTGGTGAACCACCATCAGACTTGGGCACGGGCCACTCGAGGTCGACGCGGTCCTTGTCCCAGTCGGTGATAAGAGGCTTTCCAGGAGCATCAGGCTCATCTAGATATTTATATTTTTCATTATTAATAGAAATTCAGTTTAAAATATTTCAATTTTAAATACCAAATTCATTCTTGGCAATGATGCTTCGTCCAAGCTCAAGAGGATCAGACTCGCCAATTCCATTGACTGCCTTTACTCTGAAGAGATATTCCTTCTTGTGGACCAGTCGTTGGACGTCAAAGGTTAGGGCAGAGCACTGGCCAGCTTCAGACCAGGTGCCTCTGCTTACATCCATCTTCTCAACCAAATAGTGCAGAATTGGGCAGCCACCATCGTCGAGGGGAATCTTCCAGCCAATTCTGGCGCTCTCTTTGGTAACCTCTCCGACCAGCATTGGTCCTTCAGGCGGCGATGGCCTGTCCAGGACAGTTACCATGGCTGATGCTGAGCAGGAGCCAAGGTTGTTCTCCAGGGTCAGTTGGTAACGGCCAGTATCGGAACGCACTGAGAAGGGAATTTCGAACACCGTCTGCTTGGAGAAGGTCTGGATGTCCGCGCGATCTCCCGGCTCCACAGGCTTGCCATTGATTGACCAGCGAGCAGTAGGCCTGGGAGAGGCCTCGATGGGAATAGTGTAGCTGATTTTCTGGCCAGCCTTGACCACCAAATCCTGCAAGAACTTCTTGTCCATAGTTGGCGCCTCTGCAAATTTTAATTTGGAATTTTTATTTTGAAAGATAAAAATCGGAATTTGAATATTTACGGAATCTGGGCTTGGCAATAACTGGACGAGAAGGCTCGCTGGGCTCTCCAGGACCACCCTTGTTGACAGCGATGATCCTGAATTCATATTCCTCTCCTTCAGTCAGATTAGGAGCAGTGCCCTTGGTCTGTGTTCCAGGAACTTCAGCAGCCTTTTCCCAAGGTCTGCAAGTTGAATTAAATTAAAAAATTATTATTTTTAAAATGCATTATTACAAATAGTTGAATTAATTGATTAAGTTCTTTATTTAAATTTATTTTCAATTCTAAATTATATTTTAAATTTTAAAGTGAAAGCAATAATAAAATTGTAAATTTATTTTTTGCATAAATATATTTTTTTTTTTGCTTATGGCACCCGTGAGCTTATTAGGCTATTGGGTCGGTCTCTTGCCGTAGTCGAGAACCCTTGGCACAATTGTGCTTCCCAACCAACCTGACCCCTGGTCGGGGGCATAAATATCTAGAGGTGTAGAATATGACACTTTTCCTAAAGTTTAAAATTTATATTTCCAAAATTTATCAAATTAGATGGACAAAAAATTATAATATTTAATAATTATTAATCTTTAAATAAATTTTTGCAATTTTAAACTTACCCAAATCTGGTCCTCTTTTCAATAATGTAGGACTTAATTGGCGATCCGCCGTCCTTCTTAGGTGGAGCCCATTCAAGATCAACATGGTCCTTGTCCCAGTCAGTAGGTTCAGGTGCTCCTGGCTTGTCTGGCTTGCCGAACGGATCCTTAGCTGTGATAGGCTCCCGTCCAGTCAAAGGCAGAGACTCGCCCTGCTTGTTAACAGCACGCACTCTGAAGTTGTAATCGTGACCTTCGATGAGGTTCTCCACCCTGGCCGTAGTTCCTGTGACCTCAGCCACTGGCACCCAGCGCATGTTTTCAGTGTCCAGTTTTTCGACGCTGTAGTGGGTGATTTCGGAACCGCCGTCATCCTTAGGCGGACGCCAGTACAGCGAGCAGGAGGACTTGGTGATGTTGTCTGGCTTCAGAGGGCCCTCTGGAGGCTGAGGCACGTCAAGGACAACCACGTTGACGGTGGCTGTATCCTTGCCGTTGATGTTCCTGGCCTCGATGGTGTAAACGCCGCTGTCGGCGCGCTTGGCGTCAATCACGCGCAACTTGGTGTTGTAGTTTTCGTTGGTGATCTTGATGCGGTCAGTGTTGATGAGACCGTTACCCTTCAAGCTCCATTCCTTGCTTGGAGGAGGTTCACCAATGACGGGCACATCAAAGTCAAAGTTGCCTCCGGCGCGAATCTTAATGTCCATGAGGGCATGACGATCAATGCGAGGTGGCACTAAATAATTTTTTAAGTTAATTTCTCATTAATTTTTGTAATTGTTGTATGCTTACAGTTCTTGGGACGAGCGACGTGAGGCTTGGTGGCATCACTGGCTTCTCCAGGACCAGCCTTGTTGACTGCCCTGACCCTGAATTCGTAGGTGTTGCCTTCAATTAGGTCAGGAACCCTACCAGTGGTTGTATCACCCACAACCTCTGCACACTTCTCCCAGTTTGGACTACAATTAAAGGTAAATTTTATGTTACATTAAACTAATTAAATTTATTGATAAGAATGTTTCAATTTAAAAGTAGATTATAATTTATTTGTTTTATCACTATTGAATGCGAGAAATGACTAATAATTTATGATATATAAATTATTTTAAATATTTTTTTTCATTTAAAAAAAAAACATAAAATAATACATTGCACAAATTCTTCTTAATGAAAAAACTGCGTGTTTGTGCTGTATTTAGATATCAATCAACAGCAAATAAAAAATTTGATTTGTTAAAAAGGCAAATTTAATTTTTAGTTTTAACAAAATTCCATTTCTTACTTTTTTGCTGTTAATTATTCGTAAAAAATAAAATGTCAATATACTTATTTTAATTGTAGCATTTGAAAACACAAATTTATAAAATAATTCACCTAATTTGCATAACTGCAAATTAAATTTAAATTGGAACATCGTGGTTTAGAATAGCAATCTAAAAAATTCTTACTTGAACTTGTCCTTCTTTTCAATGATGTAGCCGGTGATTGGTGAGCCACCGTCCTGATCAGGCCTTGCCCATTGAAGCTCGACAAAGTCCTTGTCGTAGTCAGTGATGTCAGGAGTGCCAGGTTTGCTTGGTTGATCTGTGAGTAAAATATAGCACAATAAAATAGTAAATATAAAAAAAATTTAACTCTCACCAAATGGATTTTTAGCCTCAATGGCCTGAGCTGTCTGCAGTGGATCGGACTTGCCCTGTTTGTTGCATGCCCGCACTCTGAACTTGTACTTGTGACCAGGCTGAAGACCATCAATTTCAAGGTTGGTAACTGGTCCATCAGTTTCACCCGCAGGTACCCATCTGCCAGTGGCCTCGTCCAGCTTTTCAACAACATACTTGTCAATGGGCTGGCCGCCGTCGTCGGCAGGTGGATTCCAGCTGAGCTTGCAGCCTTCGGCATGGATGTCGGACACCTTGAGTGGTCCTCCAGGTGGGCTTGGTTTGTCCAGGACAACCACTACAACTTCGGCTTCGTCCTTTCCATTGATGTTCTCAGCAGTGATAGTCCAGGTGCCAGATTCGGCCCTGGTAGCATTTCGCACCACTAACTTGGTGTTGTACTCTGGGTGCTGAACCTTCACCCTCTCACTCGACTTCTGCTCCTTGCCTCTGAGCAGCCATTTGGTGTCTGGAGGTGGCTCTCCGCTGACTGGAACATCAAAGTTGAAGTTCTGTCCAGCCTTGATGCGCACTTCGTGCAGTTTGGAGCGATCGATCTTTGGCGCCAAATTCTTGGGCTTGGTGATAATCGGAGGAGTGGTGTTGCTCGCCTCTCCTGGTCCAGCAGCATTGACAGCTCGGACTCGGAACTCGTAAGGAATTCCTTCAATGAGATCTGGAACCTTTGCAGCAGTTTTGTCACCAGGCACTTCCAGGGCTTTCTCCCAGTGGCCGAACTTGTCCTTCTTTTCAATAATGTATCCAGTAATTGGTGAACCACCATCCTCCTTGGGTGGCTTCCATTCAAGCGCGACGAAGTCCTTGTCCCAATCAACCGCCTTCAGATCTCCTGGCTTTCCAGGTTCGTCGAAGGGGTTCTTGGCGATGATGGACTGCTCAGCAACCAAAGGTTCAGACTCGCCTTCGGAATTGACTGCAGCAACTCGGAATTTGTACTCCTTGCCAGGTGTCAAACCGGCCACATCGAGCTGAGGTTCTGAGCTGCGGCCGCAAGGCACCCAGGTGTTGGTCTCAGGGTCGAGTTTCTCAACTTGATAGTAATCAATTGGCACACCACCGTCGTCCTTTGGCCTCTTCCACTTGAGCTTGCAGCCTTCCTTGTGAACATCGCTGATCTGTAGAGGTCCTTCTGGGCTGCTAGGCTTGTCGGTGACAATGACATTGACGGTGACCGAGTCCTTTCCAGAGCTGTTAGAGGCGATGACTGTGTATTCACCAGAGTCTCCTCTCTGGACTGGCCTAATGATAAGCTTGGTGTTATAATCAACATTGTCAATGTTGACTTTCTTAGATTGTTTCAATGGACCACCAGCATCACGCCACTCAACATTTGGAGGAGGTTCTCCAATGATGGCCGCTTCGTACTTAAGCGTGGATCCAGCAGAGATTTTGACGTCTCTGAGGTTTTTGCGGTCAATTCTCGGCGGCAGGTATCGCGCCTTGGCCAAGAATGTCTTGCTTGGCTCAGATGGCTCACTCTGACCAGCCTTGTTAAAGGCGATGATGCGGAATTGATATTCATTTCCTTCAATCAGGTTGTGAACTACGGCCTGAGGAAGAGCGTTGTTTGTTTCCAAGGCCTTCTCCCACATTGAACTGTACTTGTCTTTCTTCTCCACAATGTAGCCCAAGATGAAGGAGCCGCCGTCGGAAGCTGGTTCCTTCCAGACGAGATCAGCATGAGTTTGGCTCCAGTCAACTATCTCTGGTGCACCAGGGGCATCAGGAACTGTGAATGGATCTCTTGCAATAATCGGAGATAGAGTATCAAGAGGATCGGAGACTCCCTCCTTGTTACAAGCACGCACTCTGAACTGATACTCGTGGCCGGGAGTGAGACCTGTTACCTCCATTTCTGGATTCGTGCTGTTTCCAACAGGAAGCCACATTCCAGTATCAGGGTCAAACTTCTCAACCAAGTAATTTTCAATTGGCTCTCCACCATCATCTTTTGGCTTCTTCCATTTCAGTTTGCAGCCATCCTTGTGAATGTCAAAGACCTCCAGAGGACCTTCTGGTGCTCCGGGCTTAGAAACCACAGTGATTTCAACATCTGCGTTGTCAGAACCGTGTTGGTTGGTGGCTTGAATTTTATAAACACCAGTGTCTTTGCGCTCAGGTTTGTCGATGTAGAACTTAGAGTTATAAGGCACATCCTCAACTCGCTTAGCGCTGGTTTGCTTGAACGATTTGCCATTCATGGCCCACGTGACGTCAGGTGCAGGCTCACCCTGAATTTTAACATCAATATAAATTGGCTCGCCTTCACGAACAGTGATGCTGCGCAGGTTCTTGCGGTCGATCTTAGGCGCCAACTTGCGGGGCTTGGCGGTAATGGGCTTGCTGGCATCGCTGGGTTCTCCAGGTCCTGCCAAGTTGACGGCGCGAACCCTGAACTCGTAAGTTTGGCCTTCCTCTAAGTTCTGAGCGCGGCCGCTGCATTCGGGCCCCTTCGACTCACCACATTTCACCCACTTGGTAGTTCCCTTCTCTTTCTTTTCAATGACATAGCCAGTGATTGGCGAGCCACCGTCCTTCTCTGGTGCTGTCCACTTAAGATCAACGTGGTCTCTGTCCCAATCTGTGGCCTCTGGCCTGCCAGGTGCTCCGGGCTCATCGTAGGGATTTTTGGCAATGATTGGTTCCAGCACATCTAGAGGTTCGGACTCACCCTCGGAGTTTACAGCCATGACTCTGAACTTATATTCCTGGCCAGGCTCCAAATTTTCAACCTCCATCTTTGGCTCTTTGCACCTTCCAACAGGTACCCACCTGCCCTTTTCAGTATCCATTTTTTCAACGACATATCCTTCCAAAGGACAACCGCCGTCATCCAAAGGTGGGTTCCATTTAAGATTGCAGCCCTCTCTGTGTACATCAGCTACCCTGAGTGGTCCTTCAGGCTTGCCTGGCCTGTCCAATACTGTGATTTCGAAAGAAGCCTCATCTTTTCCGGAATCATTTTCAGCCTTAATGACCCAAGTTCCAGAATATGGGCGGGAAATTCCGGTGATAAAAAGTTTAGTGCGATAATCTTCAAAGTCAACCGTCATGTTGTCCTTTGTTTCCAGACGGGCCTTATTACAGAACCAAGACTTCTTTGGAGGAGGTTCACCAGAAATTTTCACATCCAACCTGAAGGGCTGTCCGGCCTTGATTGACATATTGTTAAGATTGGTTCTGTCGATCTTCGGTGGAGTATATCGGTCCTTAGCGAGAATTGTTTCGCTTGGTTCGCTAGGCTTGCTCTGTCCGGCTTTGTTGCAGGCGCGAACTCGGAATTGGTATTTCATGCCCTCAACCAAATCAGGCACCTTTGCTTCGCACTTGTTGCCAATAATTTCAATAGCCTTTTGCCACTTAGAGCTGTATTGATCTTTCTTTTCAACAACATAGGAAGTAATTGGAGCGCCACCGTCGTTCTTAGGCGCAGCCCATTTGAGATCTGCAAAGTGTTTTCCCCAATCCTTGACATCTGGCTTGCCAGGTTTCTCCGGGGGGTCGTATGGGTTCTTCGCGATAACTGGCACGTCAGTATCAAGAGGCTCAGATTCTCCTTCGGCATTGACGGCCTTAACTCTGAACATGTACTCCTTTCCTTCATTCAGGCCAGGCACCTCAGCTTCTGGAAGCTTTGTTGTCGTGACAGGAACCCACCTTCCAGAGTCAGTGTCCATCCTTTCAACCACGTAATGGTCAATAGGAACACCACCGTCATCTTCTGGCTTCTCCCAGTTGAGCTTGACACTCTCGGCAGTGACGTCAGACACCTTAAGCGGGCCCTTTGGCTTGCCAGGAGCGCTCAACACGCAAATATCAACATCTACTTGGTCAGTGCCGGAACTGTTCTTAGCAGTGACCTTGTAAATTCCAGTGTCGGAACGTGTTGACTTGCTCAAAGTGAATTTCGTTTTATAATCTTCATTTTCAATTTTCAGCTTGTCTGTATTCTTCAAAGGCTGTTCCTTCAGCAACCAGATAATTTCTGGAGGAGGTTCACCCTGTACGTCAGCCTCAATCACCAGCAGCTGGCCAGCGTGAATGACCTTCTTGAGCAGGTTCTTGCGATCAATCCTAGGTGCCAAGAAGCGAGGTTTGCAGACAACTGACTTAGATGGGTCACTGGGCTCAGATGGCCCAGCTTTGTTTTGTGCCACGATGCGGAATTCATATTCATGACCTTCTTCAACGTTAGTGACGCGGCCGACAGTTTTGCCTCCAGGTACGCTGCATGCGTCAACCCAGTTTCTGCCCTCCTTGTCTCTCATCTGAATGATGTATTTCTCAATGGGAGCACCGCCATCGCTCTTAGGAGCGGCCCATTCAAGATCAACGAAGTCCTTGTCCCAGTTTCTGAGCTCAGGTCTTCCAGGTTTGCCGGGCTCGTCGAATGGATTTTTGGCAATAATCGGTTTTTCGGTCTCCAGCTCTTCAGACTCACCCTCCTTGTTAACAGCCCTTACCCTGAATTTGTATGGCTTTCCTTCCTGAAGGCCAGTGATGTTAGCCTCAGGTTCTTTTGAAGTTCCACAGGGCAGCCATTGTCCGGTCAGAGGATCCAATTTTTCAATTTCATAATACTCAATTGGTGAGCCGCCGTCATCTTCGGGCTTCTTCCACTTAAGTTTGCATCCGTTCTTGGTAATATCATTAACCTCAAGAGGTCCCTTGGGCGTAGTTGGCTTACCAAGAATAGTAATGCTAACCTCAGCTGTGTCAGTTCCTGAGGCATTGGTTGCTGTAATTTTGTACGTTCCACTCTGTGCTCTTCTGGCTCTCATGATAAAGAACTTCGTGTTATAATCAATGTTGTCAATTCTGACAAACTCGTCGGACTGCAGCTCCTTCTCCTTGAAGGTCCAAGTGACCTTTGGAGGGGGCTCTCCAATGATGTTGACATCAAGTGAAACTTGCTGACCAACCTTGATATTAATTGCTTCGAGATTAGTCCTGTCGATTTTAGGTGCAAGATTTCTTGGCTTGGCAATATGAGGATTGGTTTCTTCGCTGGGCTCACTCTGTCCAGCCTTGTTGACGGCCCTCACTCTGAATTGGTAGACGTTGCCCTCCTCCAATTTAGGAACAGTGCCTGTGCAAACATTGCCGTGCACCTCTGCGCACTTAACAAAATCGGGTTTGCCGCTCTGCTTGTCCTTAAATTCAATAACGTAGCCAGTGATTGGAGAGCCACCATCTCTGATAGGTGGGTCCCACTTGAGCTTAACCATGGTCTCATCCCAGTCGACAATGTCCGGCATTCCTGGAACTGCTGGTACATCGAAAGGATTCTTTGCCAGAATAGCAGTGTCAGTTTCTAGTGGCTCGGATTCACCCTCCTCGTTCACCGCCTTGACGCGGAAGTGGTACTTTTTCATTGGCTCCAAACCCTTGATTTCAAGTTCAGGGTTCTCAGGGTCTGCGTTGCCAGCTGGTACCCACTTTCCGGTAGCCACATCCATTTTCTCAACAACGTAGTTGGTGATGGGCAGACCACCATCGTCCTTGGGTTTCTTCCACTTGAGCTTGCATCCCTCCTTGTGCACTTCGAGGGCCTCCAAAGGTCCTTCCGGCTTTCCTGGCTTGTCAAGAACACAAACTTCAACGGTGGCCTCGTCTGAGCCGGAGTCGTTGACGGCCTTCAAGGTGTAAGTGCCAGTGTCCTTGCGAGTGGCATCAGTAACTGTGAGTCTGGTGTTGTAGTCCACATTCTCAATTTTGCAGGTGGGACTATTTTCAAGGGTCTTGGACCCAATGCTCCAGGTGGTGGCTGGAGGAGGCTCACCCTTGATGTCGACGTCGAATTTGATTGACTGTCCTGCCCTGATGACAATTTTCTGCATCTTCTCCCTGTTGATCGTGGGCTTGAGGAAACGAGCCTTGGCAATATGTGGCTTTGTAGGTTCGCTGGCCTCTCCAGGTCCGGCCTTGTTAACAGCACGAACGCGGAATTGGTATGTGTTGCCCTCACGAAGGCCATCAACACGTCCCTTGGGATCTGGTCCCTGCAATTACAATTAATTAGTATTGGCTATCAATTACTATAATTTGTATGATTACTATTAATATAATTGACTTGTTATTTTTGCGGAATAAATTCACGATCCACAATTCTGTTTAACTCAAAATTTGACAATTGAATTCAAAATTTGAAATATATTATTTGATTAAATTAATTTAAATTACAATTTTGGTGAGAATATTAAAACCTGTGTTTTTGGCATAACTTTCTTAGTGGGGTCAAGAGAAGATTAAATTATTTTTATTCTCTGACAATTTCATCCAAAATTTTGATTTTTTTTTATTAAATTAATTTTATTAATAATTTTGGTCAGAATATTAAAACGTATGTTTTGTGGCGTAACTTTCTCGACGGTGGTTTAGAGAAGACTCTGACTATATTATAAAATTATTTTAATTATTTTTCTTTTTGGTTTTTCATGTCAAAGATATTTTTGTGGAAAATGCATTTTAGTCATTCAACGCCACTGCTGTCTGTGTATTTCTACATTATTTGCAGTAATATGCAAACAGCAGTGGCGACATATGAAAAAAATGCATTTTCCACACAAATATCTTTGACCTGAAAAAAAAACACATGTTACAATAATTTAATTTCAATATATATATATATATATATATATATATATATATATATATATATATATATATATATATATATATATATATATATATATATATATATATATATAAAATTATTATATATTAATTTGTTACAAAATATTGAATTGTCAAATTTTGTGTTAAAACTGGTTTAGTGTAAAAATGTGATCTTTGAATAATTTTTATAGAAAAATAACTGTAAATTTGAATGAAAATAATTTTTAAAAGATTGATTTTGCGCACCATTTCTTGTCAAAATATTTTCACATATCATGAATTATTGCTGCTGCCCGCAGCCGAAACATGTGGAGCAGGGTATTGTTTTTCTTAAACAATAAACAACTCACAAAACCCAACAAGGAAAAGCCAATTTTAAATTGAAATCACTAGATGCAAGTTTTAATTTAAAGAAAAATAATTAGTTAAGTAATATTCTAAACTTTTTAGAAAATATGCACTCTTTGGTTATTACTTACGTGTTATATTTTTTTCAAAGATAATTGAATAATTGCATGAAAGGCAGTTTTAAATTATCATTAAATTCAGAAAAATTAATCTTTTTGTTGATTAATTGTATCTACATATTTTTCATTGAAAAGACTTCATTAATGATTTTAATTTTTTGCTTACAGTTGTGCTGAGAACCTCTTCCCAAGAGCTTCCAAGTTTCTCTTTCTTCTCAACAATATATCCAGTGATTGGAGCACCACCATTGTTCTTTGGTGGCTCCCACTTGAGGTCAACCCGGTCCACGTCCCAGTCGGTGAGCTCGGGAACTCCAGGACTTCCAGGTACGTCTGAAATATTTTTCATTTTTAATATTTTTGTACTTATTGCTGCTGGAAACCTGATTTACCATAAGGATTCTTAGCCAAAGTGGCACTCTCGGTTTCAAGAGGTTCACTCTCGCCCTCCTCGTTAATAGCCTTGACTCTGAAGTGGTACTCCTTGCCCTCCTGCAGACCCTTGACGTCCATTTCAGGCTTGTCGGTTCTTCCAACGGGCACCCATCGGCCGGAGGCGGTGTCCAGTTTTTCCACCTGGTATGCCTGAATTGGCAAACCACCATCGTCCTCGGGCTTATCCCATTTGAGCTTGCAGCTGTTCTTGGTGACGTCGGACACCTTGAGAGGACCCTTTGGCCTGGCAGGTGCGGCTAAAAAATTGATTTAATTTTTATTTGCTTTTTAATTGATATTGATAGTTATTTTAAACTTACACAATACAGTGATCTCAACCTCAGCCTCATCTTTGCCGTGCTGATTCTCGGCAATGATTTTGTACAAGCCGGTGTTTTTGCGGACAGCGTCGCTGATGGTGATCTTGGTGTTGTAGTCAACATTGATGATTTCAATGTTGCCCTCGGACTTGACCTCAGTGTCCTTAACCACCCATTTGACAGATGGAGGCGGCTCGCCCTTGATGTTGACGTCGTATTTGACCATCTTTCCAGCCTTGATGACTATTGGCTTCAAGTTGGTGCGATCGATTCTCGGTTTCACTGAAAATATTTTTTGTATATTAAATTTGTACTTTTTTTATAACTCTATTTTGCAACTTACGAGCCTTGTGCTTGACCATGTGCATGCCAGTTGGTTCGGATGCAGGAGAAGGACCAGCCTTGTTGACCGCCACTATCCTGAACTGGTACTCGGCCCTCTCCTTGAGGTCAGGCACCTTGGCAGCGAGCTGATCTCCAGGAACTTCAATGGCCTTTTCCCAGTCTGGCTTGTACTTGTCCTTCTTTTCAATGATGTACTTCTCAATTTTGGCTCCACCGTCGCTGCTAGGCGCGGTCCATTTGAGATTAACACTCTCGTTGTCGTAATCAGTGATCTCTGGAGTTCCTGGCTTGGTAGGCTCGTCTGAATTAATTAAAATTTAAATACATTAATTGATTAAAGAGATTCAACCAATATTTAAAATTATTGCTGGTGTTGGTGTCGTTTGTGCAACAATCAATTTTTTAACACTTATCTATGTATAAAAAAGTTTTGTTAAATAAGTAATATAATTGTATAACAATTATTGGAAAATTCAAACATTAATTAATAAATCAGAAATTGTAAAAAAAAATTGAAAATATTAAATTTATGAGGATGAGACAGTTGATAAATATTGCTCAATATTTAGAAATATAATTAAAGTTAAAATTTCCAAATTTTACCATAAGGATTTTTGGCAACAATTGCTTGCTCAGCAACCAAAGGCTCCGAGTCTCCCTCATCGTTGACGGCTGTAACTCTGAACTTGTACTTGTGCCCAGGCTCCAGGCCGCACACCATCATGTCCGTCCTTTCTCCCGGGATCTTTCCAACGCGCACCCACTTGCCAGTGTCCAGATCCATCTTCTCGATCTCGAACTCCCTGATAGGAGTGCCGCCGTCGTCTTCTGGCTTCTTCCACTGGAGGCTGCATCCCTCCTTGTGGACCTTGGTCACTTCCAGAGGACCCAAAGGAGGAGATGGTTTGTCTAGAAAAACATGAGAAGTGTGAGGAAAGTCTGCAAAAACGCGTTTGAAAGTTACCAAGGACGGTCAGTTCTACAGTCTCCTGATCTGACCCGGATTTGTTTTCGGCAATAAGTGTGTACCGACCAGAATCCTTCCTGGAGGTACTGATAATTGAGTAATCTGTGTGATAGTCGATGTTTTCAACTTTGATATTGGCTGTGTTTGTAAGGGGAACGTTGTCTCTCCAAACCCATCGAATGGTTGGAGGAGGTTCACCCGAAATATCGACGGCCCACTTATGGGCACGTCCCGCTTTGATCGTAACTCCCTTGAACGTAGAGCGGTCAATTCTTGGTCTCACTGAAATTATAACCCAATTTTTGCTTAGCAAGTGAGTTATTCGGTTAAGCTTTTTCGTGAGTTGTATTAATCGCCCATGCCTGTTATATGAGGCGTTGATTAGAGGTTCTCGCAGCGGTTGCTATATACATCTTGTTGTGTTGCGGAAGAAGTCGCCGGTTAATTGCTGATTTTTTACTTTGTGCTCTGGGAATTTTATAGTTAATCTCAAGTGAGTTTGAGTAAAGGGTAATAAGGCAGTAGTTTTGTTTCAATTATTTCCAGCATTTTTAAATTGTTAGCTGCATAGGCAAGATTAAATCATTAATATTTTTATTTTTTTCTAGTTTTTAAAGCATTATTTTCAGTCTGTTAATGATTAGAATTAATTATAATTTTTTTTATTCAAATTCATCTTAGTTCTGTTTAGGTATTAAATAATTTTGTCTAGATCTGATGTCTAAAATGTTATCAGCGCTAGTAAAAAGCAAAGCTGCGTCGTGCCGTTGGAAAATTAAGTAATTAAAAATTAGAAAAGCGTCAGCTTGAAAAAGCGAAGTAATTAATAAGCTGATAGATTGTGAACGGCACTTACGATTCCTATGCTTGCAGACGTGGTTATCAGTTGGGTCACTAGGCTCGCCGTTACCAGCCTTATTGTGAGCCCTTACTCTGAACTGATAGATCATCTTTTCTTTGAGGCCTTCGACTTTGGCCTCGCAAGTCGGGTCTGAGGTTTTCGCCACCTCGACCCACTCAACTGAGAATTTATCTTTCATCTCGACCGTGTAGTGCGAGATTGGGCGACCGCCGTCGGTTTCAGGCTTTGTCCAGCGTAGGCTGACACTTTGATTATCGTAATCAAAGATTTCGGGTTTACCAGGACGTCCAGGCTCATCTAATATCACGTTTGTCATTTTAATAAAAAAGGGAATTTACCTCGAAAAGTATTAAATTTTTCAGTTTAATTTTTTTCCAAAAAATATGGTGATAAAAAAATGTTTTTTGTGTAATTATTTTTGTTTTTTTGGTCGTATTTCCACCTACCATACGGATTCTTGGCCAAAATGGCTTCTTCCGTCTCCAACGGTTCGGATTCTCCCTCTTTGTTCACAGCCTTTACTCTAATCTTGTATTTCTTCTTAGGTGTCAGTCCCTCCACTTTGAAGGTGTCCTTGTCGGCGCTAACCTCTCCAGCAGGCACCCAGCGTCCGGTGTCCAGGTCCATCTTTTCCAGCACATAGCCGGTAATTTCGGAGCCACCGTTGTCCGCAGGCTTCTCCCACTTGACCTTGATGTGGTCAGCTCTGACCTCCTCAGCCTTAAGTGGGCCAATTGGTCTTGATGGTTTGTCTGAATAATTTTAATTTGTTAAAATAAAAAAGGTTTAGCTCCGGGGCTGATTGAGATTGGATCAAACTCGTAAATTATGCATGTTTTAATCGATGTAAGTCGCTGCCTGATGATTTTTTCTGGGAGGGATCGAATAAGTTTTACTCGAAGCAGTTCTCTAAAATGATTTCTTGTCGTGTGATTTCACGTGCATTGATACGGGGACCACTTGTTCAGTTTTTACTGTTTTTCTGTGGCCATGCATTCTTTGTCGCAGCCAGTTAATTGTTTTCCAACGTAATGGGGCTCGCAAAATTTGCATGTGAGCATGCAGATTATTTCCGTTTCATACGTGTTGTGGTCATTGTATGATACGTTTTTCCTTTGTTCGGAGTCGTGACTGATTGAGATGGGGTGTGAAATTTGCAGTTTGCAAATTTCCTGCCTCTTTTATAATTTGGGTTTTAAATTGTTCTCAGGGATTCCGCTTTTGGAGTTTGGTTTTGGTTTTCTGTAGCTGGTTTTCTGGCCAAAATATTTGCTAAATTAAAGTATTTATAAAAACGCAAAAGTTGCTGGATCTTTGAATATTTCTTTGTAATTTTTGACATTGCAGAGCGGGCGTATTTTCTCTAGGCCGGGGTAAAAATAAATTCATGGCAAAAAAATTGTTAATATAATTAAAAAAAAGTAATAGTTATACCAAGTAAAATGATAAAAATAGCAATATATCACAAACAGCCTACCCCTTCCCCTACGCATACTTGACTGTGTGTATGATTTCTTCTGTACCTGTCATTCTGTGAAGAAGGCACTTCCATCTTCAGTGCCGAAAAAAATCTCGAAAAAAAACTTTATCATCTTATCTTTCGTTTGTTGCAACAACAAGAAGAGTAGGTACGCTCGGTACCTATCTAGACTTCCTTTCCACGCCTTTGTGATATATTGCGAATTCAATTATAGAATAATTGAGTTTATGTGGGCTATTTTTTCCTTTTTTTAAAATTTTCACTATTTATACTTCCAAAATGGAACAAATATGTATCACAATTTTTAAAATAAAACGATATTTTAATTTTATCCTTACCAAGCACAACCACATCAGCACTAGCCTCGCAAGAGCCCGAAGTGTTGCTCAAAATGAGCTTGTACTTTCCACTGTCTCCTCTGACGGTTCTACGCACTGTGAGAACTGTATTGCGCTCGTACTTGTCAATGGTGGTTCTAAATTTAAAAGGTTTAGTTCTTCGTCTTTTAATAATTTTAAAATTTTTTTATTTCACCTCTGATCTGGTGGTGCATCTTCCTTCAGCTCGGTTGTGTCTCGCTTCCAGACAACCTCAGGTTCAGGTTCGCCTCCGTACTTGATGTCGTAAGCGATGACCTGTCCCTTCTTGACAACAATGTTGATCAAGTCGTTGCCAATAATGAAAGGTTTGACTGCAAGCAAGAGAAGATTATTGTATTAAAAAATATTTAATTTTTAACACAAAAATATATTTTAGATTGAAAAAAAAATAATAATATAATAAATAAATTATTGCAATTTAATTCTTACCGAATCTTTCCTTTGCAATGATTGGCTTGGTGGCATCACTGGGTGTACCAGGACCAGCCTTGTTTATGGCCCTGACTCGGAACTCGTACTGGCAGCCCTCCTTCAGGCCGTCAATGGTTGCGCCCAAAACGTCTCCGATCTCTTTTCCAGGGCTCCAATCCTTAGCGAACTTTTCTTTGAACTCAATGACGTAGCCTGTAATTGGAGCTCCTCCATCGGACTCAGGCTTGGTCCACTTGAGATCAGCGTGGTCCTTGCCCCAGTCAAGCACCTCCACATTGTTGGGCTTGCTTGGCTCGTCTATATTTAAAATTTGTGTTTATTTAAAAATTTTGAATTGAAAATTTAATTACCCCAAGGATCCTTGGCCAGGATTGTTTTGTTGAAGGTTGTTGGCTCTGAGGCTCCCATCTTGTTAACAGCCTTGACCCTGAATTTGTATTCCTTTTTGGGTGATAGGTCTTCGCACTTGAAGGTGGTTGGCTGTCCAACCGGAACCTCGGCCACCGATGACCATCCGCCTAGTTGATTAAATCAAATGTATATTAAAAATTTCAGTAAAATTTAGTGCTAATAATTTTTACCTTTGGCACTGAGATCCTGTCTTTCCAGGACGTAGTGCAAAAGTGGAGAGCCACCGTCGTCTTTCGGTGCCTTCCAGTGCACTACGCACGAGGTCTGGAAAACGTCTGTGACGTTGATGTCTTGAGGTGATCCAGGGACATCTGCGGAGTTGGTTTAATATTAGTTGAATAGTTCCAACAGAAGCTACCACAATCAATTAAATTATTAGATGGATTTTATTGAATTAGAAAGAAAACCAAAACCAACTGGTGCTGAAAATTGTAATTTTGGTAAAATTTTTATCTATTTTTTTTTTCAAATTGGAATTTTCAAGACCAGTAAGATTTAGTAAAAAATAAAAAATGATTATTGTCATCTAGAAAAAATTATAAAAACCTGCGAAAAAATATAAAAAACATTTATTAGATGTGATTAGAAAAATGTTACATGATAAGTTCTAGCGGCTCAAGAAGCCGAAAAATAAAAATCCCACTCTTCTGATGTCGAAAAGTCGGCCAAAACTGGTTGTGTGAGTGTGTAAAAAGTAGTATCCAAATTGTAAGAAAACCTCTGTGAAAAATCATAAGAAAAAGTCGATATTAGTATTAAGTTGTGAGAATGAAATAAAATTAATTAGAGATGGAATATAAATATTAAAGGCCTCGGAAACTCTGTCTAGGGAGTCCGAAAAAGGCGGCCAAAGGAAAGTTAAATTAGAAGAATTAGACATTGTTAATCCTGTTGTGTTTGGCCCTAGTGTACCTTGCATGTTAATTTTGATATCTCGAGTGTCATCGCCCTGCGAGTTGGACAATTTGATCTTATATGGTCCGGAAAGATTGCGAACCGGCTTCTTGAATTTAATCGTGACCTTGTCGTCCTGCACGACAATCTCGACCTCCTTGAGCGGCAGCGTCTTGCCGTCCTTGATCAGCTTGGCCTCAACTTGCGACAGCCGCGTCCCTTCAACTAAACAACAAAAGCGAATGGCGTCACCTGCTCTCTCCACCCCCTGAGCGGCAGGGGGCGAAAAGGGCGCGCTCCCTAATACCTGTGTATGGCACCTCGAAAATGATCGGTTTCGTCACCGGTCCTTCTACATCACCTGCCATGTTGATGGACGGCTTCGACTCGCCCTTCTTCACTGAGATGTTGCAGCTCGACTTGAGCTTGCCGGACTCGCAGGTGATTTCACCCTCGTCTGACATCTCGGCGCGGTTGATGATCAGTTGGTGCTTTCCACCGCCCAGGTTCTTGATCTCAATCCTGTTCAATAATAATTTATTGATTGAATTTGAATATTCAGAGATTTTATTTTTGTTTTTAATCAGACCTGTCTCCATCAGGAACAATCGGTTTGCCATTGAAGAACCACTCGGCAGGTGCAGTTTGGTCTTGCAATTCGATGTCGAGCACCAGTTTTTCACGCTCGACGATTGCGGTGTCTTTGAGTTTCTTGTTAAACCGATTCATGTCTGCAATTAAGATTTTATTAAATATTTTTGTATCTATTTCCCAAGAATTTTGCCACTCACAATCGATAACAACCTCTCCTTCGGTCTCATCCGCATTGCTGGTACATTTGTACATGCCAGCGTCGGTGACCTTGGCGTCCTTGATCACCAGTTTTCTCTTGCGGCCGTCCTTCAAGATCTGAATCCTCTTATCCGGCTTGATCTCCTCGCCGTTTTTGAACCACTTGACCTCGCCGCCAGCGTCGTCCAACTCGCACAAAAGGGTGATGGTGTCCTTCTCTGTGCAAGTCTGGCTCTTGAGTACCTTGGTGAACTTGTAAGGGTAGTCTGAAAAGAAATAATAATATAAATTTAGGAAGAGTTAGATTTTCTAATAAAATATTATATTTCTTTCAATTATTTTTAAAAGGTAACATAATTATTTGTTTCAGGCATTTTTTTGTCACAGCAAAAACTTCTAAAAGGTAAGAACCACTAAATTTTTTTTCACCCCGTTTAAACCTGAGCAAAGAGTTTTTTAACGTACCAACAACGCTGAGATTAGTGATGGTCTTATCCTCCTGCTTTTCGATACGGCAGGTGATTTGGCCACCGTCGGAAGCCAGGGCACTTTTGATCACCAAACGGCACACGCCGCTCAGATCCTTTGAGATGCTGAATCGGTCTCCGTCCTCGATTTTCTTGTCGCCCTGCCACCAACTGATCTGAGCCATGCTGTTGCTCACGGTACATTCGAGCTGGACCTCGAAACCAATGTAACCGTTTGTCTTCTTTGCGAGAGGCTTCAAGAACGTGTAAACCGGGTCGGCCTCTGAAATTTAAAAATTTAAACAGGGAAGGGTGACAGAATGGAAAAACTAACCCTCAACCGTGAGGTAGGCCGTGCAGCTGACGCCGGCAAATTCAATAGTGTATTTTCCAGTGTCCTCCACTTTGGGTTGGAAAATGATAAGTTGATAAACATCGTTCTCGTTCTTGAACTTGTATTTTGAGCCGGGGAAAAGTTCCTTCAGAAATTAAAGAAAGTTTTTTTTAATTTTTAGCAGATGTAAATTATGAAAATTCTTACATCCTTGCGGACAAACCATTTCGGTTTGCAGTTGGGCTTTGAGAAAACTGCCTCGAACATGACCTTTTTGTCCTTGCCCTCCTTTGCGTGCTGGTCGACCAAGGGCTTCATGAACGACTCTTGTTTCTAGAAAGCGTCACAAAACCAAAGTTAGCCTCTCTTTTTGACGAATTCGAGCGCGGTGCAAGAGAAGAAAATCCTCAAGAGAATTTAATATAGTAGAAAATGAGATGTAGAGATGATGAGAGAAATTGCTGAGAGAGTGGTTGCTGGAAAGTGCTGATCAAAAGTATAAACGTGAGACTAACACAATTAATTTGATTGATCTGTACAGATTTATGTATATTTATGTATATACAGATTTGGTTGCATACTAAAAAATAATCATGGTGTTTGAAAATATTGAATAGCACGACACATTTTCAAAAAAATAATAAATGAGATTTTTTGGCTTTCTCTGCCAATTTGTCAGTTTTTGATTTAAATTATGTATCTGTGCCGCGTGGAAAAAATAGTTATTACAGTCCAAAAAGCCAAGCAGCTACCTGATTTTGACTTTTTGTAGCTGCCCGGCGTGACATGTTTATGCTGTCAGAAAAAAAAAATGACCATGAATGTTGAAAAATCACGACAGAATAGAAGTAAAGACATGAAGTAAGTGAGAGTTTTTAATCACTCCATGCTGTGAATTGCGATGGTTATTTGCCAAAAAAATCTGACCCGTGGACGAATGCCTCCGAAATGTTGTTTTATGCAACCGGCGCGACCAGAATGTACAGCCTGTTGCATACCTTTGTAATTTCGGACCATAAGTTCCACAGACCAGTTTGAGTGAAGAGCGCACACGGAAGTGATGAGTTTTTATAACATAATATTCAGACAAACATTAGACAACGATTACGAAAGACAGAAACACAGAAAGACATAGAAGGACATTTTGCGCAGAAGATTTTCATTATTATTTGTGATGAAATTTATTTTTTATAAATGAATAAAAAACGAGAGAGAGCGGCCGGGTAGAGAACTAGGGCTAGTAGAGACTGCGCGGAAATTGAGTCTGAAAGAACAACTCTGAGAGTTAAAAGAGAGCAGCGAAGAGGAGACATTTAGGCAAGGGGGCCAACCTCCCAGTGGTGCAGCTTCGGCCAGTCGGGAATGAGGTCCGCGAGCGAGCGTCGCCGTTCTGAGTTGCTAGGCTATAACACACGACATTGCTGACAAATGGACCAACACGCACGGACACACATGTGTGTGATTGTGACACCCACACGCACGCACACTCATGCAAGGTGGTCGGTAATTGATTATGAACCACTTTAGAGCGAGAAAATGAAAACTGGAGATTAATTAGATGCGGCTGAGAGACTTCCAAATTAGATTCATTGCACACCTCTTTTATTTAGGATATTGAAAAAACGGAAAATAATTAAAAATCGGCGATTATTTTTTATTTAAAAATTAAAAAACTGCGGGGTTGAATTAATTTAATTATATTCGGCTTGCGGCGTAGAATTGATTAATTGATTAGAATCTTGTCTTTGTTGAATTATTGATGTTTCAATAGATTATTTTTTATTAATTGTGTGTTTTGCCAAGGTCCGTTCCTTAGGTCAAAAAGAATTGTGGGCCAAACCTTGAGTAGTTCTCGATCCAGTACAATCAGTTTCGGCCAATCAATGGTTTCTTCGACCGACTTTCGCCTCTTTTTGCCAAAAACTTCCTAGATTGGTTTGCAGGTCACATAAACAGAGATTAGATTCAAAACTGTTCCATTAATTAGGATCGCGGTCATCTTGATTTAGTTTTTTCCAGCACCCAAAATCTTGGTGTAATTTTAAAACTTTTAGCCAAATTTTTGTTGCAAAACCAAATAGAATAATTTTTATTTGGAATCGAAATAAAATCTGGTTAAAAGCTCAAATTTTTATCTCACCAGACCAGGTTACCGGCTTTTGCAGAACCGTCTTTTTATTTAATTAAAATGTCTTCTATGTTTTTTCTAGTTAGCGTGCGGAAATTTTAAAAGTTCACCGAATCGTTTTTTTTTTGTCTCGCGCGGATTAGAGACATAGAGATGAGCTCCCTACTTTGATTCACTTCATGCACATCTCAGCATGGCAGCTAATTTGTTTTTTAAGATTATTTAATCACCATTAATTAATTAAAGAGAGACACCGAAACGGCATGCACAAGGGCGATCATTCTCTCAGCACCACAAGCAGGCAAAGCAGGCACTCAAAAGAACTGAACCTAAACCTTGCCTAGGCGAATTTTTGCTTTTCCAATCAGAGTTTTGATTTTTATTTACAGAACGTGAGTGCGAAATTTTATACATACCTAGCAATTGCCTTAGGGAATTCGTGAGCTGAAATTTTTAATCGCTTAATAGGCGCTTTAGAATTACTGATGAATTTAATTTTAATTTTAGTTGGCGAGGAATGTAGGCAGAATTTTATTATTTAAATTTTTTAATTGACTCGATATTTTAACGTTTTAGGCGTTTTTAATTGGTGATAATGGAGTTAAATGCAGCGTATTAGGAGGAAAAAGGTTTCTGTTCTACTTTGAAAAAATGATCTTTGCGTAATCCAGCATGCAGTGCGGGACCCTCGGCGAAAAATCAAAATGGGAGCGTCATTTCTTATCTCGTTTTATTTTTTAATTCGGGTGTTGAAAAATGTCTTGTATTTTTTTTTTTAAGTATTAAATGCAAAATAATTTTGGCATTTGAGGATGGTGGGTGGGGAAGGGCTTTGTGTAGCTATTTGTGCTTTCAATTTTTAATAATTGATGAGCCAATCACTACCTTAAGCCATTGCCAGCTTTGGGCCCTCGATTTCTGTTCGGCTGGGACTCTACACAGTTCCTTGCCTTCCACTTTGACTATTACCATTCCTGTTTCAGGATCGTCGAAGAATCCCGTTTCTAAATCGCCATTTTTCTCCTCTGGCTGCAATCATTGCTTTTTATTTAAGAGCACAGAAATTTGTTGCGTTATTAATGTTTAGTGTTGTGAAGAGAAAGGGCGATTCTCCTGTTGCTTTGTTTAGTCGAACCGGAAAATCTTAGCCTTTGTGATTATTTAGTCCAAGTTATGATCAGGTCAATTTTTATCAGATTTAGACCGGAGCAATGCAAGATGATTATTTAAGGTGAATTTTAGTTTCCTCTCGGAATTTTACCGTTTCCAACCTAGGCAAGGTTATCGACATGAACTGTCTGATTTTTTAACACATGTATCAGATGAAATAATTATAAAACATATAGATATAGATGTATATGCCTGTACACATAGGCAACACTTAAAGCATGACGTATAGACATAAAGATACATAAAACAAGTAAAGTGGCCAATAATTGTGAAACAACGATTAAAATGCTCTCGTTTTTCTGTTGAAAAAGTTGCGTCCGCTGTGGAGAGATTGGTTAAAAGTAACGAAACGGAAGTACTCACTCTTTCGACCTTCTTGAGCGCGGGCTTTGGAGGCTCGACTGCCTTCAGGTCCACCTCCTCCTTCTGCTCCTCGTTCTTCCACTTGGCGTACTTCCTCTTGCGCAACATGGCACGGAAGTCCATACCACTAGCGTCTGAAATTTACAATATCCAAAGTAATTATTTAAAAACTAGATATATATCATTTTATTAAAAATTTGATTTTTCCATAGAAAATAATAAAACATTGTTATAAAATGTTTTGTTTTGAATTACTTCTTTCAGTCTAGAAATAATCTGTGTTGGGATATTAAAATATTTCAAACCAAAGAATGGCCTATAGCGCTTCTTAATATGAAAAACTTAAGAATTCACCCACCAGAAACATAGAGCATCATTTCGGCCGAGTCTTCGCCATGTTCGTTTGAAACTACGATCTTGTAGTTGCCCTCGTCGTTTGGTTTGATCTTTCGGATGCACAGAGTGATGGAGTTGGTTTCGCCATCGGTCAAGAACTTGTACCGACCCTCGTCTTGGAGTTCGGTCATGCCCTGAATTTGCAAAATATAAATTTTCATTTCTAAAAGAAAAAATCGCTTTGCTTACCTTGAACCATTTGAAGGTTGGTGGAGGGTTGCCCTCAACCTGGACGGTGATGTAGCCCACTTGATCTGTGGATGGAGGATAAAATTAAAGATTCGTTCGTTTATATCACCATTTGATTAATATGGGATATTTTTAGAAGTGTCTTTTCCAGTATTATTTTAAATATATTGAGGCAGGTGCTAAATATGGGGCAGAGCTTCTAAAATTAGATTTCTTTTAATATTATGATGACAACTCTTGTCAACAAAGTTTCAAAGGGTTACAAATTTAATTAGTTTGTAATAAACAAAAAAAAGCAAATATTTTTTAAAATTTCTAACCCATTGTCTCTTTAAAAAAATATATTGCAACAAATTTTTGAGGTTTTCCAATTTTTTATAACAAATTTGATAAAAAAAATGGACCTTCAACGGCTGAGTAGCTCTCTTGCACGTCGACAATGGCCGGAGGCCCAGGTTGGCCGACGGGCTTGAGAGGCGTGGACGGTTTGTCGATCAACTCGCCGGCGTCCGCAACGCTCGGCCGCCTCGCGTCCGTACTTGGTCGCCTCCTCTGTGTAGTTTTCACAAATTAGTCGGAGTTTTTTTGAGAACGGGGAACGAAAATAAAACAAAACAAGAAGTACGCACACAGACGAGTAGGAAATAATAAAAAATAATAAAAGAAACTGACGAAAATTTGTAAAGGATTAGCAGCGTTACCATCAAAGCCAAGAGTCGCTCTCGCGCGACGCTTGTGCTTTTCTAAGCTACACTACCATATTTGTTTTTCTAACTAAGAGGGTATTAAATTGAACAGCTTAAAAATTCATGCATTTTTTGTTGCTAATCTACCAATTAATATTATTTTTAACTTTGTTCATATAAATGAAAGTGTTATTTGGAAATGGAGTTGAGTATGTTGTTATTTGAAGCGCAATGTAGCGTTATTTAATCTTTTATTGTTTTCGCCTTGGTATAGGCACAAACGTATTGCGCAACAGAACTTGTGAAATTAATGAAAACTGGAAATGAAAATAAAAAGGACACATATAAACGGGACGAGAACTGAAAAGAAAATAATAAAATCGTAATAAGCACTGAAAATAAAAGTAAAATAACATAAAGTGAAGAAGATGATAGACAGGATAAAAATAAAACAAACAGAGAGAAACCCCACTGGAAATCCACGAGAAAATAACACGAACCAGCATAGTTCTCTATGGCCACTCCAACACCCTGTGCACCATGATGTGAATTAATACGAAGCTCGATTCAGACTGTGACCTCGGCCGGTCTGTTTAGTCGGAGATATCTTTTTATTTCTTCACGGAAAATTAAGCAGAACAAGGTTTAATTTGAAAAATGGAGCTGATGAAAGTTATTCCGAGAAATTTAGACGCCGCGGAGATATATTTAGATTAGAATTAATATGCGAGAAGTTTTTTTATATTTTTGTATAAATTATGTATATGGCGCATAGGGCGGTGGACGTGTGCACTTTTTTATATCTCTATTTTTGGCACCAGGTTTTCTAACCTGCTTGGACATGGCTTCCTCCAATTCGCCGGGACGGCCCCCTTTTTTCTGATAGAGAGAGGGAAGAGAGAAAATAAAAGTAAATAATAAATTAAAAATAGCGATCAAAACAAAGAGAGAAAGAGGCTGACCAAACAAATAAAAATGAAATCATATATTAATAACAAGGTAAATGCGATAGTGAAAGATGTGAGAACAGAAATCTGAATGGCGTGAGAACCAACATAAAAGAATAACTTTTGTAAACAGAAAGAAATGCGGAGAGAAAACAAAGTAAAACAATAATTTGCTTGTATACCGATGATGAAATGAAACTAAATAATAAGATATGGACGAAAATTGTTTGGAAGGAAATCAACACAAATAAATAATTGTTTTACTCTGTAGATTGCTAATCCTCTAGTATTCAAACTGGTTTGGCATTGATTAAAAAATCGGTCAAAACTTTTGCCCAGGCCCAAAACAAAAAAGAGTAACTGAAAAATAAAATGAGCAGATGAGACATGCAGCAATGTGAAAAGTCTGGAACTGGTCAGTTGAAAGTGAGCAGTAAAATTTTTTGAAAATCTCGGTTCAAAACTTTTCCTACACAAACAACAAACTGAAACTAAATTAAACGTCCTAGAACTAAATGGCAACTAAAAATCTATCTAATATCTACTGAAATAAAAATAAGGTGACATGTAGCGGAAATGATAAAAAATCAAAATGAAAATTGCGAATTCCCGATCAATGCCAAAGGGAGAATATTTTCTAATGATAAAGAACAAGAAATAACCCGCGGAAGGTGCGACACTTAAGAATCTCACCTTCGCATCAAATACCTCACCGGGCCGCAATTTATTCCCAGCCTGTAGAAATCAAAACAAGAAATAAATGATAACAACAACTGAGAACCAAAAGAAATAAATAGAATCAGTGCACAAACGAAAATGAAAATTAATATTACCCCAGAAGAAGGAAACGAAAGAGATCGATGAGCTTGGCGAGACAGAAATTAATGAGAGAATAATATATATGAATAATATTGAAAACGGAAATAGAAAAAATAAAATCGGAAAAATTTATTTCGTCGAGAGAAAAAAGTGTATATGATGGACTACCGAGAAAAATTATGTACTACCATAGCGAAATAAAAATAAAGAGATTTTAAACCTAAACTAAATAAAATTGAGCAAAAAGGCGTGAATTAAAATTAAGGGAAAAAGTGCAGCAAAAAATAACTAAAAAAATAATCGTCTTGAGCGTTTAGTCGTGAGCAGATTTTTAGCGAGAGAGACGTGCAGAGGCGGAAAGATAGAGATGACAGTTATTTGTCCTGAATGCACTGCGTAGCACATTCTGTCTCACCTTTCGCTCTTCCACAACCTCCCCTGGACGCAACTTCCTATTCTCCTAGAAACCACCAGAAAAATTTCAACAAGGTTAGGGCACGCTCAAAAAACACAACGCCACAAGAAACCATCGCGCGAGCGTCTTCAGATGCCGGACAGCACCTTGTGGACTTGATTATAAAGTAATTGTAGAAAAAGTATAAAACATATTAGGTAAAATTCGGTGATCTCCGCAACCCGCCGCACACTAAGCCATTTAAACAGCGAAAAGCTATAATTCAGCACACATGCTTTTTTTCAAAATTTATTTTTCTCTTTAAATGGCCTGCAATCTGAAAAATAAATCGTGCCAAGTTGAATGAAGACACATTCCGCAACTCAATCTGTCCAAACGAAGCATTGTCAATATTATTTTCATTCTCCGCTGCAAATAAGCCGTTGGAAAAATATGTCGTTTGTAAATATATATTTGATAATGAGATATCTCTGAACGTGTATGTTGATTAAATATTTATTTATTTAATTGTTTAAAGAATTAGGAACGTCTGGCCTTCTAACAGATTGAACGGAGAAGAGATTTTCACAGGATAGAGAGAGAGGTATTTAAGAGAGCTACCGATACTTTTCTGCAGCGACGTCTAAACACGGACATGCGGATGTGAAAATTAATTTTAGTCTACTGCCTTTTAGTCCTGTGAAAGCAGTGAGACGTTGTGAGTCAGCTAAATACCCTGCTAGGACTATTTAAAATTAAATTTATCAAAACAAAATCGGCGTTGCTTGACGATCGAAGTGGATTATTAATACGTTTCGGAAATAATCATTCCCGGCTAAAATAAGCAGTCGTACCTCATCGCTGATGAGCAAACTGGGTCGCCTCGGTTGGTCGTCGGGCGGAATGAGCGAACCACGGCGGCTGTTGTTTCCGGAACCAGGAGCCAAAGAGCCCTTTCGGTTGTCCGGAGTCCGTTCGCGGCTCACCTCGATCTTGGGACCGTCGCCGGGCGCTTTGATTTCCGGCACCGCCGGTTTCTTGGGCTGGAGGAGAAAAAATCAGGTCTTAGAATTCTACACCTTATTCATGTTAATTAAGCGCTGGCGCCTTTTAGTCAAAAATCAAAATTTTATTTATAAGGAAAAAATTATATTGCTTTAAGATTTGAGAAAATGTGAAAAATAATAATAGTTAAAAACTGAAATTGGCCGAAAAAAGCAGATGGAAAATATTCTACCTAAACTACTTGAAAATCTAAAGAAAAATAATATTGTTTTGAATCCACCAAAAGGCGCTACGTCCAATTATATTCAATTAAGAATGATTTTTTTTTACAAAACATAAATACAAATTGACGAATTTGGAAGATTTAACATTTACAAAAGTCTGCACAAACAAGTAACATACAAAGTTTATAAATGGTTGCATGCTTTTAGTCAAAACGATTTTGGCGAATGAATTTTTTTCTTCTTGATTAGCCAACCTGATAGAACTCGTCATCATCGTAATAGTCGTAATCTTCGTCGCTGTCGTCAGAGTCATACCTTTTGCGGAAGGAAACTTTTGGCGGGGGCAAACCAGCTAGACCACTTTGACCATTGTCAAAATCGTCGTCGTCATCATCGAATTTATTGAATTTAAAGTTGATTTTCGGAGGTGGCAGGCCCGATAGACCCGGTCCTGCAGGTTCTTCCTCTTCTTCCTCCTCCTCAACCTCGTCAATTCTTTTCGGCAAATTTATTTTCGGTGGTGGAAGGCCGGATAGTCCCGGTCCTGCGGGTTCTTCTTCCTCCTCTTCTTCCTCATCGTCATCAAATCGGTTGAACTTGAGGTTTATTTTTGGCGGAGGGAGAGCGAACAGACCAGGCCCAGAGGGTTCCTCCACTTTTTCTTCTTCCTCTTCGTCTTCGTCATATCGATTGAATTTGAAATTGATCTTTGGTGGAGGCAGGCCTGATAAACCTGGACCAGCAGGTTCTTCGTCTTCAGATTCTCCTTCATCTTCATCGTAGTATTTTTTGAACCGCGAAACATCGACTTTGGGAGGAGGAAGACCAGCTAGGCCGGGACCGGCTGGCTCTTCGTCCACGTGTTCCTCTTTGATCACCGGGATCTGATCCGGAGCGAGGGAGTGGAAAGGAAAATTTTTGTAAAAATATGTGATCTTTCCAAAGACAAAAATCAAAATTGTAAAAAATACTTAGCAACGTCCGCCATGCAGCAAAAATTAAAGAGCTACTACTGATTTAGAAGTAACGTCAACTATTTCTGCAAAGTAAAAAAAATTTAATCTGCAGCCTTGCGGAAAAGCTAAAAATTGGCTTGCAAAGCTTGTTGAGGATTAATCTGTTTAAGTTCTTCCTACGCTGGTAATGATTTTCTTGCTGATGTTAAAGTAGATGCCGTCGTCGTATTTTTTTATGTATACCAAAAATCACTGCCACTTTTATAATAATTGTGTTACGAAAAATTATAAAAATAAAAAGCTGTTGATTAAAAATCAATTTATATCAAAACACGGAGAAGCTCGCGTTACATGTGTATTTTAAATGTAACAAAAATGTGTTGTTTTGACAAAAAAGCCAGAAGTTTTGCAAAAATTGTAACGTGGCAAAAATCGCAGCGGCTCACCTGGAAGGCAGGTTTGTTCGCCGGTTCTTCGCGTTTTACCTCCTTGATGGTTTCTACGATCGAAACCTCTTCCTCCGATTCCTCCTCCTCTTCAGAGGACTCTTCGATAATTTGCTATTTACACGCAAAATGATTTTTGTGGTGAGGACAAAAAAAACATGACAGATAAACGTAGGATCATGCAACACAGTCACCAGAAAAGGGACGATTCATAGAGGACGATGAATTTATAGGAAAAAAGGAATTTTACCTTCTCGGCGGGTTTGGGTTCCTCCTTCTTAACAGGTTCTTTTTTCGGAGGCTCCTCTTTCTGTAAATTAATTTTAGTTGGTCAGGATTCGGGTGCACATAAATCATCAAGGGGTCCAGGAGTGTTTTTAGTGACATATAGTTTTTTCACGCCTGTTTTTATGTACATAAATTTTTATGTTTTGTGTATTCGTTACCTTTTGTGGAACGGGTTCTTTCACTGCTGGTTTTTTCAACGGCTCTGTCTTTTTCTCCTCTATCTAAAAACAACATAAACCTCAGCACATGTGGCGGAAATCGTTTTGGACATAGACGTCCGAGAAGGAAGAAATAATTCAGAGACGAGAAATAGAAAATCGATGGAAGAAAGTAGAAGAAAGAAAGAGAAAGTAATCCATTTTGAGCAGATGAGAGAGAACCTTGGTATGAGATGAAAGAAGAAGGCTGGAACGAAAGTTTGTGGGTGTTGAGAGAATGAATAATATATGCGAGAAGAGAAAAGTAAAATTCGAGAGAGCTGGAAAATAATAAAACCTGCCAACAAAAAATAAATTGAAGAGAATAGATTGGTAAAAGAATAGGGACTTTTTGCGTGTCTCGTACCTTAATCTGGGGGATTGGCTCGAATTTAAGGCCGTCTAATTCGGGCATCTCCGTCTGTAAAGTGGTCGTACGTGTATTATTTTAAAGTGAAACTTTGTGACTTTGGTCAAAAAGGCAGGAATCAGTTCATGCCCAAAGAGAAACAACGCAAATCAATATAAAGGGCACAATTTTTTCGGCAAAAAAAGCATCCTGTGGAGAAAGTTCGAGAGTTTTCAGAGAGAGGAAGAGGGCTGGAAATAAACAAAACGAGAAATAATAATAATAATAAAATGCTCAGCAGCAGCAATTCTCAGACCACTAAAATCCAAACCGAGAAGAGGAAGAAAGATGTGCCTTCCGAGGAACAAGTGAGATATGTGGCGAAAATAATAATGGGGTGAGAAATATAGAGCCATAATTTATGTACAAAAGAATAGGGATTTTCTTCACTTGCCGGCGTAACAGTATTTACAAAAGTTTTGAAATGAGAGTGAGAAGTAAAGTGGTATGTACACCAGATGAGCAGCGCAGATAGTGGCAAAAATAGAATTTCACCCTTATGTACAGGTTGGTGCTTAATCTACCTTGGGCGGAGGCGCTTTCGGTTCCCTCTTGACCGGCTTGAGGACTACATCGAAAGGTGACACTGGCTAATCAACCCCCAAAATTGATTCAAAAAGAAGAAAAATAATTGTATGAAAAATTTAAAATGTTTAGAATTTAATTCCTTTGTGAGCTTTTTAGCCAAAAATTTGCTGTATACCTTCGGTTTTTCAATGGGGGGTAGTTTTTTTCCACCTCCGGGGCCCTTGCAAAGGGAAAGAAACTCGTTAGAATCTTTCGAGATAGTCTCAGAGAAAGATTTGAAGAGAGTTCAGAAACTGACAGACCAGTAAACAGAGAGAAGAGGAAGAGAGAAAGATACAGAACATGGAAGTATATCCAGAAATATAGAGTTGACCTAGTGAAAATGTCAAGAGATTTTCCAAGAGAAGAGGGTTGCAGGGATTTAAAACTAACCTTTGGCACTTCCTTGGTCTTGGGAGGCGAAGGTAGTTTCCCGTTCACCTTCTCCGGTTTTTCCAACTCGGGCTTCGCTTCGTCCTGACAATGATTTGAACAAAGTTAGTTACATCACATTTTTACTAATTCTGTCAAATCTATACGTTGGAATCACAACAACTGCGGTTGGTAAAAAACTGAGATTTTGAAACTGAAAATATAAAAGAAAAATGTAAAACGCAAACATGCAAAATAATAAGACGTAAATTATGTATAATTTTGCCAATTTTTAAAATAAATTAAAATACAAACAAGAATACACAACAAAAACACACAGTAACATTTTTACAAGGAGTCACGTCATTTGTGACCTTGGCTTAGTTTCTGTTGTTTAACTTTTATTTTATTTTAAAGTGTTAATTTTAAATTGTTAGAAATGTTGAAAGTATAGAAGATGAATAGTTTGATGTGAAATGCTGTGGCTTTGAGAGTGAGGGCAGACCAGCGGAGACATAGAGAGAGAGACAGATAAAATATAGAGTCATATTTAGAGACGGTCGGATAATGGACAAGACATGCCATAATGAATATCAAGAGATGTGTGAACATTGACACGGTCACCATTTGATATGGTGTGACATGGAAAATTACCGGAATATCTTTTAGATCTAACGGATCAAAGTGGAACTCTTCGTCAGGCCTTGGCTGAAATGTCAAATTATTTAATTTTCGAGTGGGGGGCGTCTGAGGCACAATTGCTGATATTTTATATTTCAACAACGTACCGATCTCGCTCTTTCGACAGGTTTAGCCTTTTTGGGAATTGGTTTTAAGTTGTACAAATCGGCGACCTGTGATTTCGAAATTTGATTAGTTTAAAATTTGAATACGGTCTAATTTGCAGACTAATCTTCTATTTCACTGACACGATACAGATTTACTATGATGCCAAAAAATTTTGCAAGCAAATTTTGACCTTCTACTACAGGGTGAACGCATGATAATGCATTAAAACAGTAGGAATAGATTATGAAAATCGTACAAAAATGACAATTATCTCTTTTCAATTTTTAAATAATTGCTATAAAAGGCAAGACATTTGAAATGCCAAAATCATTGAGGAAAATATTTAGTCTCAAAAATTTAAATCCTTATCTTCCCCTTAATCCTTCTTTTGGTAATTATACTCGCAACATTGAAAAGTTTCTCAGTTAATAAAGGCATTCAATATCATATTTGGAATCAAAATGATAAATTTTAACCACGTCCGTGCTTAAATTATTTTCTTCAGTTTTTCGACTATGTCATTGCAATGGAATATTATTTATATTTAAAACAAAAATATGTCGCCTAGGAATAATTTTTTAAAATGATGTTTTTGGTGTAATAAAATAATATATATTTCACCTCATGTTTTGTATGATTGGATTTCAATAAATATCTCAAAAAATGTTTCAAATTATGAAACTTGGTAAAAATGTGTTGAAAGATGATGTTAAAAAGTAAAAAGTTTGTGGTTATGGAAAAATCCACAAAAAAGTGCTCACTGAAGCTTGTGCATGTTATGGCCCCAAAATAAACTTGCCAGAAAAAATGGCATCTTCAATGCTTATGGAAAATTTACTAACAACCGTAACTCCTTTTTTACTGAAAGTTTTCCATAAAAATAATTGCATTTTACCGTGGCAGGGCCATATCATACACACACAAAAGAATTCAAAAAACAAATAATGTGAGTGTTAAAAAGTTAAAAAATTTTGTATTAGCATTTAAAATTACGTATATACAAAATATTTTAAAGTTGTTATAAAATTTAAAATTTAATATTTTCATTTAATATATTTACAATATTTACACATTGACGAAAAACAACTATTTCAAAACATACCTTCATGGTCTCACTCTTGATTTCCGGCAACTTCTTTTCCGCCTTCTGAAATGCGAGGTGGAAGTTAGAAATGTGCCACTTTTTGGTGCATTTAATAATTTCTATATTTGTTAAACTATAGTATTTTATACCTTGGTCTTAGCAGGCTTAAGTGCAATAGATTTAAAGTCGGTTATCTATAAGAGAAACACAAGGGGGTTAACACTTAGTGGATCGGTTTAGGGTTTTATATGTACAATATTTACAACCCTAGAAATTTAGATATTTAAATTTATCAATGCGAATGCAGTTAAAATTAGAATAGTCATTATATGTTTACTATGTACAACCAGGACTCAACCAAAAGCCAAAACACCTTCCAAAGGCTTTCAAGTTTCAACTTAAGGTTATTCCTGAGCATATATTTTTTTTAAAATTATTTAACTGATTAAATTTGTTACAATTAAATTAAAGAAATTGCAGACTGAGTCTTGAGGTGGAAAACACACCTGTTCGACCTTTTTCAATTCAACCTTCTTAGCCTCCACCTTGGCCTCCTCCTTCTAAAATAATTAATAAATATATATGTAAAAAACTTCAAGAAAAATTATGCAGATCTCAAATCACACCTTTTCGACCTTCTTGAGCTCGACCTTCTGCTCCACCTTTTTCACCTCCTCCTTCTGAACACATTTAAAGAAAACGCAAGGTTACAGAGTTACAAAGACAAGCGCTAAAAAATAAAGGCGGTCAAACACACCTTTTCGACCTTGACCTCTGCCTTCTTCTCCACATTGTTGACCTGCGTCTTGGCCTCCTCCTTCTGGAAATCACAATTTGACACAGAGAACATAGGGTTGACAAAAATAATGTCTTAAGGCGGTACAACACACCTTTTCGACCTTGACCGCTGCTTTCTGCTGAACGTTGTTGACCTCAACCTTGGCCTCCTCCTTCTGAAATTGAATTTCCAAGAAAGGGTAACATTTAACAGAGGTTGCTTAAAATTTTCGAAGGTGGACAAACACACCTTTTCGACTTTTACTTCGGCCTTCTTGGCCACATTGTTGACCTCAACCTTGACCTCCTCCTTCTAACAGGGACAAAGTTATTTTAAAAGGAACTTAAGCCAGCTATGTATAATTATTGACCTTGGTCTCAACCTTGGCCTGAGCTTTGATTTCCACCTTCTTCTCCTCCACCTTGACTTCCGCCTTCTAAATTTCAAAAGTATTGTTTTAAATCGAGTGGGGAAAACCAAACCAAAAGGGACAGAAAATGTGGGTCTGTGTATAAATGATATTTACAAGGTTGAGAAACAGCTAAAGTATCAAAGGGGTATATAATACAGGCAAACACAAAAGGTGGACAGACACACCTTTTGAACGATTTCAATCTTTTGTTCCATTTTGGTCTCTTGGAACGTGACGCTCTAGAAAACAGGGGAGAAAGAAATGAACATTCGGAATTCAACTAAAAAATAATACGGGGCTTGGGTGGAAAAAAAGACCCAACAGAAAAAAAATTGTTAGTCTACTGCTGCCCCTAAAGGTTGAGTTGCAAATCACCTTTTCTTCCTTCTTCTCCACCTTCTTTTCCACCTTCTGCTCAACCTTCTGCTCGACTTTCTTCTCCACCTTCTGCTCAACCTTCTGCTCGACTTTCTTTTCCTCAACCTTCTTTTCTTCCACTTTCTTTTCTTCCACCTTCTTTTCCTCCACCTTCTTCTCCTCCGCTTTTTTCTCCTCCACCTTCTTCTCTTCCTTCTTTTCCTCGGGCTTCTTTTCTTCCTTTTTCTATATTCAAATCAGGACAAAATATGACAGGGGGTATAACGCAATAAAATGATGCACTCGGAAAAAGGGTGGCAAAACTCTGTTTTGAAAAACCACTCGCCCGTCAATCTTACCTCCTCCTCCTCTTCGGGGATGTCAACAACTTCGACCGCTTGCGAGGTGGCTTCGCCCTTTTCGTTTTTGGCCACCAGTTTGTAAGTGCCCTTGTCCGTCTTTTGGCACGACTCGATCTCCAACTTAATCGCGAATTCACCCTGCAAATCACCCCAGGTTTTTAATTAAAAATTATCAAAAGTTACAATTTTTGGTTGCACTTACCTCCTTAACTTTCTCCACGTGAACGGAGTGCCTAGAGTCTTGTTTCACAGCCGTCGTTTCCTTGAACCAAGTGCACTGAGGCGCGTACTGAGACTGCACGTGGCACTCGACCACCACAGTCCTCCTCTTCACGATCTTGATCACCTTGGGTCTCTCTTTGATCACAGGCACAACTGAAATTATTTTTTAAATTATTAAAAAAAAATTAATTAATGTCAAAGATTAAAAATTACTTTCAATGTTGAGCGTCAGATTAGCATTGAGTTCCCCAAGGGCGTTTTTAATGTTGCACTTGAACAAGCCACCGTCCTCTGGGCCAGGGTCCTTATTTTTTAACATGAAAAAAATAATTATTTATTGTTTTTTCAATCAATTATTTTTCTCTTACAGAGAGTTCTAGCCGGACGTAGTAAATTTCCTTGGTCTGCGTAATGGACATTTTGATCTTGCTGGACTCTTTGATGACGACACCTTCCCTGTACCAGGTGACCGAAGGTTTTGGGTCGGCCTTCATCTTGAAGTCCATGATGACCAGTTTGCCGTTGTTCTCGGACACAATGCGCGGCTTCTCCACGAAAGTGGGGCCGGTGCCCTGCAACTCCGGCTCCGATTCGATGTTCAGGTTCAGGTTGGCGTTGCTCTCGCCAAATTCGTTCTTCACGTGGCACCTGTAAGTGCCGCCGTCTGCGCCCGATGGGTCCTACAATAAATTTTAATTCCAATATTATCGTTTAAAATAAAATATATGAGTGCAAAATATTGGCAATTTTAATAACATAATTTCTCAGTTTTCGCTTTAATTTTAATCAAATTATAGATTTTCAAATAATATATCTCCCCTTAAAAATTAATTTAAAAAAAATTAAATATCCAAGACAACTCTCTTTAAGCAGAAAAAATTACCAAGATTTATGGGCTATTATTTTCGTAAAAATTTGAGGCTCACTCGAATAAAAACTCTTTGAATTAAAAATAAAAAATTGCAAGCTTGGAAAATAAACGTCAGGTTTGAATTTTTTGGTTTTAGTTTTGCTTTTCCAAAATAATTAAATTTTTTTAGAGCTTTATTCAGAAAAAAAGTTTTGTCTAACCTTGATTTCCAGAGACAGTTCGTAGATGTCTTCACCCAAGTCGACGGCCTTGATTATGATCCTGCTCGACTCTGTCACAATGGTGGTTCCTCGGAACCACTGGACTGTGGGCTTGGGCTTCGCGCGGCACTTGCACTTCATGACAATGAGGGTGCCGTCGGCGTTTGGAATGATTTTGGGCTTTTCGACGAAGGACGGCGCTTGGCCGGCGTCGTCTCCACCTGCAACACAGACGACACAGCGAAATTGGTCGGTGCTCCCAACTCGGGCGTCCAAGCACATAGAAAGAAAAATACAAAGCAGTTTCGTCGGCTATTTACACAACGGAACACACACAGAAAGCTTTCGAGACGCCTGCGGCCGCTCCTGCAATGAAGTACAATTAACTGGACGTAAGAAGTGTACGGGGGAGAACCGGGGTGAGAGAGAGACAGGGTGAGAGAGTCACGTCAGAGGGATGCACTGGGGGTGTTGAAATCCGCGCGGTTTGTTTTTCCGAGACACAATTTTTTCTATTAATAACATTTGGATCTAGAGTTATATTGAGAAGAAAATAACGATAGGATTGATTTTTTTTCAGACGAATTGTGCCTGAGAAAAGGGAGCACATTTCGACAACCGGGGGTGCATCCCTGCCTGGGGCGGCCTACCTTGGAAGTTGAGCGCAATGTTGGCATTGCTCTCTCCAAAATTATTGAACGCGTTACACCGGTAGTTGCCGCCGTCGTCGATGGTTGGGTTTGTGATCTCGAGCGTGAGCAGGAAGGTGTCTTTGCTGAGCTGCTTGTTGGACATTTGCACGCGCGAGTTTTTCGAAATCACTTTGGTGCCCTGGTACCACGTGATGTCGGGCATCGGGTTGGCTTCGAGAATGCACTCCATCACCAGGTTGTCGCCGTCTTGACGAATGGTTGGCTTTTTCGGGAACCGCGGCGCCTTTCCGTCCGGAATTCTGGAAATTAATTTTGTAAATTGATTAATTAAAAAAATTTAAAATTGTTTACTAAATAGAAGGCAAGAAATTTTTGAACAAAAGCATCAATTACTGAATCTTTTCACAATAAAGTAATTTTCTATCCTCATGGATATTAATTTAAATTAAATTTAAATAAATATCTATTTTATGCAGTGCTCATTTTTTAATTAATTTTTGTCACTTTGAAGGGTTTTACTTCAAGAACAATACAAATAAATATAGGATCTTTAAATTTGTCATACTATTATAAAACATAATATCAATTTTAATCATACATAATTTATAATATTTTTCTGGTTTTGAAACTTACTTTGGTTTGTCGCCTCCCTCAAAGTTAAGGTTGATGGTTGCGGTGCCTTCGCCGTGCTTGTTCTTGGCCACAGCCTTGTACTCGCCACCGTCGCTGTTTTCGACGTTGGAAATTTCCAATTTGACCATGTAGTAGAGTTTCTGGTCTGGCTCCAGCGTGAATTTAAAGCGTCCTCCTTCCTTGAGAGATTTCGCTCCGTGGAACCTTAAAAACAAATTTAAAATTCTTCTTGAGTATTCCCAAATAATTTTCAAAATCTTACTCGTCTTGGAAAAAAATAAGCTCGATAGTTATGAGAAATAAAATTGCAAAATATTTTGATAACTTTGTTAAACTTTGAAAGCTCAAACTTTGATGTATAATACACCTGCCTTTTGGCCGAGTGTTTTTTCTTGAGTTGCTCACAGGCGGGGTCGTACTTACCACGTGACTGTGGGCTGCGGGTCTCCGACGAGGCGGCACTCGAAGATGATTTTGTTTCCGTCGTCGGACTGCCTGATGACGGGTCGTTCGGTGAAGGTGGGCTTGATTCCGTCCGCAGGAAGAGGTGCGGCATCGCCTAAACGAAGGAAGGAACCTAGTGGCGTGCTCAGCTCTCAATCAATGTGTCTCCGACAAGATGACTCTCAGCATGAATTTGCAAAAATTATCGGAAAAACTGCGGGGGACTGCGGGGGTGGGCGGGGACGAATTATAGCAGAGATTAAAAAGCTCAGCATCTGGGTCTGATATTCCTCCGACTGCTGTCTATGTGTTTGGCTCTGTTTGTTAAAAAAAAAAGTATCGGACGATTCTCTTGGCTGTTTGTTGCGTCAGCGGCTCCCAAGAAATTAATATTATCCAATAGTTCACATTGCATTGAAGAGTCTCTTTTAAATTTTGATGAAAAAAATATTCCTTTTGCAAAACATGCCAAAGCAAGACGTGTGCTAGTTCTTTTTAAACTTGAAACTGCAAAACGGCTTTTATAAAAGGTTAAAAATTCCAAAAACACAGCGCTCATAGTCTTGAAATATGAGTTTCTGACGTTTTTTGTCAGTATTTTATCAAATAAATTAAATTGATTAAGTAAATCCAGGTCAGTGATTAATCACTTTCAGGGACGGACTGGCTCACAACCAATTTATAACACAAATAATTATTATTTGAAGAAGAAGACGAAGAAAGTGGGTGAAATATTTTAGAGTTTGAACTCTTTTCTTTTGATAAAAAAAAAATGGTACAAAAATAGCAAATATTCAGTCCATACCTGTTTGGTAGTAGGCAAAAATCACTCATTTTAAAATTCGAGTGGTGCAAAAATTAGTAAAATCCGCTATGAAAAATGTTGTGTTTGGAAAATGAGTGAAGCAGAAAAAGAATCCAAGAAGAAATGTGTTTAGATTTTTTTTAAGAGTGGATTCGGGATGTTAGGAGGGATTATTATTATTATTATTTATATACCACTGGCCGAACACTAGATATTTTGACTGTTTAAATGATTAAAGCGAGATAAATTTACGGTAGAGGTGAATAATCGACTATTAATCAAAAAGTGAGAATCTCGAGAGAAGCCATCTGTCAGCACACAAAAACAAACTTACTGTCGAAATTGAGGCTGATTGTGGCGTTGCTCTCGCCCAGCTCGTTCTTGGCTGTCACTTTGTACTTTCCAGCGTCCTCCACAGTGACATCCTTGATCTCCAGCGTTGCCGAATACGAATTGCCGTCCTTTACAACTGTTATCTGCAAATAATCACAAGAAAAAAATTAGAATTAGAAAGAAATAACCTTTAATCCTTTAAAAAATTAAATTTTTGAATTAGGAAATTTGATTTGGATGATACATTTTGAATAATAATTAAAGGTTCAGTACAAAAGAAATTACTTTAAAACAAAAATCAAGCTTCTCTATGGATAAGCAAGTTTTTTTAAACTAAAAATAATTTTTTCGCTTTGATCAAATTTTGTTTGTTTAAAAACAATGATTTGCCAATTTCATTGAGACTGACACATGCAAATCTGTTGGTCTGCAAGGCTGTGCTCTAATTTTAGAGGGTTCTTAAACTTCACGCCCTCTTAATTTTACGATCTTGCGGCTCGGAATTTATAGCATTGCCGATGAGAAAGCGGGCTTAACGCGAATTTTTCCGCAAAGCCGCCGAGTTTTGCGAAAGGTGCTTAAAAATCGTGTGCGCAATTTTCGAAAGAAACTCACCCGGTGCCTGGCGGAGTCCTGCACCATGTCTCCGCCGTGGAACCACGCAACAGTTGGCTTTGGATCGGCCTGGATTCGGCATTCGAATAAGAGTCGTTTCCCGTCCTCCTCCTGTCTGATGGCCGGTTTCTTGGCGAATGTGGGAGCGATTCCATCGATTTGCCTATTCAAAAATTATTTGTCAAAAAGTAAGTTTTTTTATCATTCATTCGGAATAAATCACACAATTCAAGTAGCTCTCTTCACAAGTATCTATTTTTTTCAAATTGAATTAAATTGCTTTTCTTGTAAAAATAGTTTCAAACTTTTGTTTTTAAATGAAATAAAACCTGTGCAATAAAAATTTTTTAATCAAATTATATCTAGCATGAAAATGATTTCATTTTATTATTTTGAAGTAAATTTTTCTGAAGAAGAGAGCCACTTTTTATGCACAGCGTCTAGTCCACGATTCCATTTACACTCTTTGGCCAGCCACACTTTGGATACGCCACCGACAATTAGAGATCACCACCCTAATTAAAGTGGCCGGTGTCTCTCTTTCACTTTCGCTTTCGTGCTAATCCCGCGCCGCCTTTTGGCAGCAGGCGATGTCGCCCGAAATCCACACCGCGTCAACCACGAATTTCACTCAGATTATTCATAATCGCAGAGGAAAAATGCGACGAGTGAAAGTTCGCGTGTTTCGGACTCGGACGCGAATTTGAAGTGTGGCCAAACGCGCGAGCGGAATCCTCGAGTCGTTGTAAAAGGTTATTTTCGGCACTTTGACCTTATGGGCGCGTAGACGGGCGCTGCTGCTTCTAATCTGGCGGCTGATTATCTAACGTGTGATTTCATTGTCCTCAAGAGAGGCCCCGTCGTCTTTGAAGTCGATTCAAAATTCCAAAACGCGCATCAAAGGATTGACGACAAATATTTTATTGGAATTTTAAATTGAAAATTCCAACATAAAATATTGAAATTATTCAAATGCGGAATGAATTACAATTTTATTGCAAGAAAAGAACAATATTGTTTCTGATAAAATGTTCCGCAAAAAATTATAAATTTTTCAAAAAACTTTATTTAATGTAAATTAAATTTTTTAAGAAATTGAACAATGAATCTTCACATATTTTTTGTCGTACTATTTAGCATATCCGTTTTTAGGCTTTGAGCTAAAAATATCTATTGCTTAATCTTAGTTTAATCTGGCAAACTTGTTTCAGGAAATCAAAATCTTGGTTCCTAGATCTGATCTAGTTTTATTTTTATCTACAAATTTCTAGTTGAAATCTTCACTGACGTACCGATTTTTTTTCTTTTACAGAACGTTTGATCATTTTTTTTTTTAAAGAAAATAAATTATTTGATTTGAATTAGTTCGGAGTGTGAAGGAATAAATGGCACAATTTTCAGCAATTGTGCTGCCCATACTGGCAAACGTCCAACAACGACTAAAACGACCCATTTCGCGGATGTGACTTTTTCCCACATTGTTTTGTGCAAAAAAAGTTTTGCAAAAATAGAGTATATTTCAAGCAAATTTCTAAAATTTATCAACCTTTTCTTTGCAAATTCCCATTTTGAAGTAATGACTTGAGTAAAAAATAAACACTTTAATTAAAAATCTCTTTGAAGACGGAAACGTTTCGAGGAATTATGTAAATTTCAGTTTGAACTCTGTTACAATTCTCAGAGTTGAGAGTGAAATCCAGTTCAAATTGCTCAATCCAGCCGCGAAATTTCCGAGAAACTGCAGAAGCGGCGAGAAGCGATACGGCCGCGTCGCTAATTTTAGCCTCGGTTGGGCCACATTCACTCCGTCACTCAGCCAACGCACGAACGAACGTCCAGTCAGTTAGTCTAGTTTCGTGAAGGGTTAGCTCACACAAGACACGGGACGCGAGTGTCGCTCTCGCGTGTGGGCAAGTCGAGATTTGCTTTGAGACAAAGGCAGGGGCGACGGTTTTTCAACTTGAACGGCTGAGAATAAGAGGCGGGTTTACTTTACGGACTTAATCTCTCGCGAAAGAAATAAAGAATGAGCACCTGAGAGAGCATCATTCTTCGCGCCCCTTGTCAAGAGCTAGGGCCGAATTTCGCAGCTTTGAAGCTCTGAGACTGATCGCTTTTTCATTGTCGGCCAACTTGAAAGGCCGAGAGAAATAAATGAGTTTAAATTACATTTCAAAAAATGCCATTCATTTTACTCTAATTTTTGAGTCAAATGCTACAATTTTGAAAAATTGGTTTTTTCCTCTTTTATTTTGAATGTTCAACATTTTCAAAGGAATTCCGTCCAATTTTCTCAGCCGCCCAACGTCGAGACTTACGGTTAGCCCGGGATTAATTGTTGTTATAGGGGAAACTCACCGTTTACGCGCTGCTTCAGCAGCTGAAAATAAAAGTTCAACGAATGCATCTCACGACTATCGATATTAGAAGGGGTCTAAAGAAAGAAAGATGCTCGGAATGTGTTGTGTTCTGGTGCTATTAATAATTTTACTCGTGGGCTATTTCAAGAGAGAGTGCTTTGTTATCGAGTGTGTTATAAAATTAGTGTTCCGTCTGATTAGTTTAGTAGTAGCCAGAAGTAGAAGAAATGCATTTGTGTGCAGGCGTGTTATCTCGTCTTTGGTGTGAATACCAAGTGAGTTTATCGCACGTGGCAAGAGTGGGTGCAACTGGACTTACTTTTCTCTTGGTTCGTCAGCCGCTGAAATTAGATTTCAAGTGTACTGTACTTGTTTTCATTTCATCCGATAGGGAGTTGAAAAATGTGTTTTAATAATAATTCGTGTATCCTGTTCAATTTGGGAGAAAAGGGCCTTGAATTGAAATTTTTAAAAAAAAATTGACTCAAATCTATCAAATATTAACATTTCTTCAACCAATATAATTGCTAGCAATTTTTTTTTATAATTAAATAATAAAAGATGTTGGATTGCATGGAACTTTTAAACTTTTGTTTTGAAATGAATTTCATTTTCAAATAAAAAATTTAATTATTATTTGCTTACTAAAAATATCATGGATTTTTGATGTTTCAATTTAATCAATTTTCAATCAAGACCCTTTACAGAGTGTACAAAAAATTAGAAAAATTCCCGTATATTTTTGGGAAATGTACTCACGACTGAAGTTCAGGTTGATGGACGCTGCAACCTCGCCCATCTTGTTCTTGGCTTTGACCTTGTAGAGGCCGGCGTCGGACTCGATGACGTCATCCAGCTCGAGCACCACTAGGAACTTGTTAGCTCCAACGGGCTGGATGCGCATGAAGGTTCGTCCGTCCTCGACCAGGTGCGTTTCGCCCCGGTACCAGTCGATGTCCGGCTTGGGCGAGGCCAGCAGTTGGCACTCGAACACCAGCCTATTGCCCTCATCTTCTTGCCGCAGCTGAGGCTTCTGCGTGAAGCTCGGCGCGAAGTCTTCGGCCACCCCCATCCTGGCAGGCCGGCACCACTACGCCTTCCTGATGGATGTGGTTGGTGGTGGCGATCTCACCCCCTAAAACTATGCCGCCTTCCTCACGCTGTGGCTCCTGCAGCGCTCCTGTCAAAATCAAATCCGCAACGGTCACTTTCAATCTCAAAATTTGGTTTGGAAAACAACAAATTCGGCTGAAATCTTTAAGGATCTAAATCAATTTAAAGAAAGACGGGTCGTTTGAGAGTGAAATTTGGGATTCAACAGCAACGTAAAATGCTTTACCGAGGCTCACAGCGGTGGATGTTTTTTATCTCGGAAGTTTCAGCAAAATCTTTTCCAGTGATAGTGCCTTTTTTCCAACAATATTCTTTCATTTCAAAATAATCGTTTTTCAATAATTGAATTTAAACAATGTGGACTTATCAACAACAATAATATAAATCTAATCCAAAGAATTTTGTATTTAAAAAGATAACAAAGCTGTTTCTTTCATAATTGTGCTGCCAAATTATTACAGGTTTGATATTTTTTGATAAATTTTGAAGAAATATTCATAATTATTTGCATCCTTATTTCAAGTCAAATTTAAATTCTCTTTAAATTTCTGATCTATTTCAAATAACTTAAAATTGAATTAATTTATATTTTTAGCTTCAAGATTAATTTCCAAGATAAATTTTAGAGGCTTGTGTTATTGAAAAAATGATCTTGATTAAATTATTTTCTATTTCATTTTCTTTGATACGGTAAAGTATTTAAACCGAGTTTGATAACTTCTGAAGCATAATTCATCACAATTACAGCTCTTACTGAAGCAATTGGAAGTATTAATTAAAATTATTATTAACAAATGACAAATAATTCATTTTTTTTCTCAATAAATTTAATAATAAAATTGGTAAAAATGATAAAAATGATCATTAACTCTAAATACCGTCAAAGATTAAGATTAATATGAGTTTTTTAAAAGTAATTAATTGAAATAATAATATTTATTTCTGGAAAATATATAGAAAGTCTTCTGATTAAAAATTCTAAACCAATGCTCTCCTTTCCTTTAAAAGAAAAAAAACCCGTGCAAAACAAATGCGTTGAGGTTGCATAACACTCAAATCTACAGGAGTTTTAAACCTCCTACAAAATAAGCCTTGACAAGCTTTGCAAAAACGTGTAAGAAGAATTTACGCGCAGTTTATTCGGTTCCGAAAAAACATCAAAGACGACTAATGTCTCTTTTCTTATTCCCTCTGCTCTAAGTGAGCAGCAAAATTTTTCGTGTGGCTAATTCCGCGTGTAATTAACTCTCGTTATTTTCGCGCTCTCCGTGCGCCACCTAATTTTTTCGGCGTCAAAAGCAAACAAATAAATCGCAGTTGTCATCGGCGTTGTTTATTTTCAAGGCATGTATCGCGGTGGCGGCGCCCGCTACTTTTGCCAATGCTGGACGGAGAAATTTAAAAATAAATCGCAAGAAAAACGCGAGAGTGATTCACGCGAGCCATTCGATTTAGGCCGCGCACAACAACACCCACAGAAAGTGACGGCAGGTGACTTTGAAATCGACCATTGTATATTGTGTGCCCGCCGGGGTGAAACTCGAAACGCCACCTCTGCCTCTGCCAACGCGCAAGAATGTGTCAACGCTTTTCATGTCCACTTTTCCGTGCATTATTTCTGCCGGACAATCGGACAGCACGGCAATTAGAAGTCTGTTTAGCGAACGCAATTAATTCCGTCTCTGTTGGACGTTTGAGAGCTCCGGTCTTACTTTCGTAATGCAATCAAAGGGGCTATTTTCGAAAACTGCTTTGTCTTCCAAGAGCTCGATTCAAGCTCAGGATTTTATATTTAGAACACTCCATTAACATGATGTTGTTATATAACGTATAAATTGTACCTTTTTTTAAAATCAAATTTCATTGAGCTTTAGAATGATTAAATTAGTTTGGTATTTAAACAGAACGAAGAATTTTAATTTTATAAATAAATTGAGTGAAATTTATCAGTTTGTGGCACAATTGTAATTATCCACTAGGGGAAAAAGAATTTTTTGCAACAATTAAATCTTGAAAGTTATGATTAAATCATTAACAAATCTGAGAAATCATTTTCTTATTAAATTAACCCATCCATAATATTTTTGTTAAATTTGTTACATTCTTCTTGCTAACGGGCCTTGATGCGATAGTCTTAACAATGGCTAAATAATGATAAAAAAAGCTTTTAATAGTTTTTTTAATAAGTTAATTCTTTTAAATATTCACATTTATCCTTGGACAATGAGTTAAAATTTAATTATTTCTTTTAAATTTTAATTTTATGGTTTAATTTTGGCCCTTTTCCACTTCTCTTAAATTTTTAGCATGTCCATTTAAATTCATGAGCAGCTATATGAAACGTTGGAAACAATAAAACTGATCTTAAATATCGCGAAACGACGCTTTTAAATGGGATTGTCGTCATCAAGTGTCTCATAATTCGTGCTTGGCGTTGCATAACTGGGCAGCAAAATGCAAGTCGTTCGGCGAAACGGCCGAAATTTACGGCCGTCACGAAAGGGCTAATTAACAACAATAAGGCCGACCGGTGGTAAACAGAAGTGACTACTTTGTGCTTGATTTCACTTTGTCTTATGTAACCGACGCGAGAGATGCACAATATTGTTCTAGATCCGCGCGCGGTGGCGGCGGCATTAATTAGCTTGGCACCGGCCACAAAAGAAAGAATCGCACAGCCACGACGACCCTCGGCTGCGCCGCTTCACTTTAATTAGAAGACGGACGGAGGTGGACGTTGTCGAACTTTGAGCGAACGCGCCTGATAAAAAGTCGCTGCGAATCTGAAGGACGCATTGTTTCTTTTTGCCTTGCCACTGACAAGTAGAGAAAGAATAGAGAGAGCGAAAACAAATTGCGTTTGTTCTGTTAAATCTCTGTTGGTCATTTTTCTAAATAAAGTTTTGTTTGAGAATGCCTTTGGCTGACAAACAAATTAATGAAAAACAATACAATTCTGAGCACAAATAAATTATCATTTTTTCAGTACATAATTGATTTGAAAACTTGAATACACACATTCTCATAGATAAAAATATGTGAGACACGCAATCTCTTATTTTTTTCAGTGAGGTAAGCCCGGCTTCAATTTTGGGAAAAATTTAGTTTGGAAATTTTCAAAATAGAGACAGAGACTTCGAGTTTTGTTTTAAGACCAACATATGGACTAAAAAGCTGACGATTGATAACAATTTGCATTTCAACCTTCAATATATTTATATAGATTTTTACCCCCCCCCCCCTAAAAGTAGAATGATTCACTTAAATTTATTTATTATGCATGAAATTAGTTAGAAATCAGAGGTTTCCTTTGAACTAATTACGTAATCGTCTGTAAAATTAGTGGCAAATTAGTGCCAGTTGTATTTCGGAGCTCAAAATAATATCCCCGAGAGCTATTTATTTTTTTGATCTTGAGGCTGCCGAGCTTTTTACAATTCTTTTCATCCTGCTGTATTTACTTTGCCGGGCCAAAACGCGGTGCTGATTGATTGGCGCGCCAGTCACCGGACAGATTTATATCTCGCTCGCGGATCAACGGCCAGCAAAGAATGCAATCGGAAGACTTCGGACTGCACAAACGGCCCATCCCTTTTTTCACTTTTGACTTTTGAGTGGGACTTCTGTTTTAGATTTTGAGTTGAAGTGGGTTGGCGCCCGTTTTGCTCCATTTGTTCACCGGGGCTTAGTCAGCGTCTGTTGCGTGGGGCGAGTGATTCCCGAAAGGGTGAATCAGCGCGTTTTATGCAAGGGGCTATTGAGAGACAATCGGTGCAGGTTTGAGAGGAAACCGAGACGCGGCTCTCTTTCTCTCATCTCGCGCTCTCTATTTTCAACTGTGATTTGCTCTGTGCAACCAAAATAACCTGGCACTGCCACGGACTCTCTTCTACTTCTTCTTCGCGAGCCGAGTTTGAGACTGTCGGTCGGTTGGACCAAAAACGCCTCTGCAAAATGCACGGCTCAAGTTGACATCCGCGACCCCGTTCTCGGAATGCACGTCCGCCTTGTGTTATGTAAACGAGCGAGAAATCCGAGGAAAGAAGTCAAAAATTCCCAGCGAAAAAATGAGCGGTTTATTTCAGACGTGGAAATTAATGAGCCGTCAAACGAAATAAATATGTTTCGGTTCAGACGTGCCGAGGTGCAGTTCAAAACAGTAAACAAAGTTGAAGAATGCACGTAGGCAGGAGCCAAATCACGATTTGAAAAAAAAAATCTAATTACTCTCGGTGCCCTTTAAATTTTTCTGTGTCGTCACAGGAATGCCCATTAAAGTTCAAGTACCTCGAGAAGCAAATGATATCAAACTTGAAGTGGATTTAAAATGAATTCAACAAATAAATAATAATTTCAAAGTACTTATTCTTAAGAGAAATTTAAAGCTAATTTATTCAATAACAAATATTAAAACTAAATAAAGTGTTCATTATTTCTTATGTTAAAAGCGCATCAAGCAGATTAAAAAAAAAAAAAAATATATGAAACAGTAATAAATTTACGAAAATAATAATTTGGTTCTCAATGATTATCAATAAAATTAATTTGAATAAAGCATGAAAAATTCATGTTTTATGTAATCAAAAAATAAAGGAATTCCAATTTAAATAAAAATAAATTTTAAATTAAATGAGACCGCGACATTTGCCGAAAAACCTGCCATCGGAATTTATCAAGTCTGGGCAAAAATCCGGGTGGCGAACAAACTCACAGAGTTGCAAGGAAATCCAAAAAGTAGCGGCACAGTCGCAGAAACGGCACTCTCAAAACTAACTCGGTGGCTTCGGAGGAGCCGTCCGAGGACCGCGCGACACACTACTCTGTACCACCACCACCACCGCGTGGAGCGCTCGCTCGGACAATGGAGTGGCCCCTCTGCACCCTTGGCGGCGCACCTACCTGCTGGGGAGTCTCAGTATTCCATGTACCGCGATTAAACGCACTAATCACAAATGCCGGCGGCACTTACCGAAAAATGCGTGACACTTGAGGGTGCAACACGTTTTTTTTCTTGGAGAGAAAGACCCTCGGTGCTCACCACCTAGTGGCTCGGCCGCTAACCACACTCCGGGCCGCCGCTCCCGAAATAGGCTGCTGGTGGGGCGGCCCGTAACCCTATAGCACGGCCTTATATAGAGGCCCGCTCCCCTCCGTCGCTGTCCTCAGACGACAACAGGTGGCCCTAAGCGGGGGTCTGGGGTCACCTTCGCCGCCGCCACACTCAGGGTCCGGCAGGAACCTTCCGAGTCCTTCGGAGGTCGCGGCCTGAGGAAGAGAGGGTTTACGGCGGCGCCGGAGGCGCGACCGCCTCACCGACGCCCTCCCCTTTTCGCACCACTTTTGACACTGACGAGTTGCTTTCAACGTCCACTTTCACCTTATTTATTGCGACGAAAAATATGGAATTCGAGAGTTTTTATGTCCTTGACATACTTATGAAAAAATATGGAAATAGTCTAATATTAAAAATAATATTTTACTGCTTTATATCCTTGGACTTCGGTTTTTAGAATAAAGCAGGAAAAAGTTTTGCAAATCTTTCAGTACAGAACGAGCATAAAAGGGACGTAAATGTCACAATGTTTTACAGTCGAAAAAGTGCAAACAAAATCGCTTTACTTTTTCTAGGAACAAGGCGCTTTGAATCGTTCTTTTTTTGCTTTACGAGGTAAATCAAAGAAAATAAATTGGTTTTCTTTTGCTTTTGTGGAATAAATTAAAAGAAAAATTATTTACTTACATACTTCTTGAGATGGAAAAATGAGAATAATCTATCTGGGAACTCCAGAGCAGTTTTCATAACACGAAAATACGTTGTTGTGTTAAAGGGAGTTCATCGTCCCGTCATAAAATCACAAAAATAAACAATCAAATGGATGGTGTGGATGCAGTTACATTTTTAAAATTCGAGTAGCAGGGGTTAAAAGTGTTCTTCTATTTGTAAAATAAGTCCTACAACTTGATTTGTGAGGTCAAAAGTGAGAATCCAACAAACTGCCAAACCTGAGCCGATACTTTTTATGCTTTGAAAATATATTTCTCAACGCCAACAATCACAAGTTGTGTTGTTGATTGTTGCTTTTACCAAAATTCTCAGCATAACCTTCAAATACGTATGCAAGAATGTAATTCAACAACAAAAAAATGGAGAAGGAAAATAATTAAAAACATGTTTGTTAACAGGATTTTTCGTTGCAGGATGAAATTATAATTAAATAAATAAATAGATAAGTCAATTTAAAAATCCACGTTTGCACAAAAAATGTATTTTCAGAATAAATCCTTTTGAATTCTGATTACGTTATTGGTTAATATAATATATTATCTAGGTTAATTATTCTCAGAGTGCCAAATATTTTTTTTTCACTTTTTTTTTAATTTTTTATGTATTCCAATTTTATTGCTTCCAACAATTGAGACATATTTTTAAACTTCAGTCAAACGCTTTTGGTACATAAAAAAATTATAATCTTCTATGATACAAAGCAAGTTGCCATTGGACCGAAACTTTTCTTTATTCTTTTCATATCCTATCCATCCTTTGAAGATCTCAAAACTTTTGTTTGATCCTGTGCGAAATTGAGCGATTTCTGCCAAGACTGCACCAATAAACAAAACACACGGCAATCAAAGGGTCGAGGAACTACCGGCCATTTGGAAGGAAGGAATAGGCTAATATTAGCTTGCCAAGAGAGGATTCCGATCGTTCGCGGCCTGATTTTTCAAAGACAAATAACGCACCGCCTGCGCCTCCACGGTGACAAACGCGCCTCTCAAACAGTTCTGACGTCCCGAATCCGTTGACGTTCAAATTTATTGTACTTTAATCTGCAGGCCGAGCGCCTCGATTTCGAAAACGGGGATCGGCTTGGAAACAATTAACGTCAGTTTTTATAGCAGTTTAGAATTCGATGGAGTTATTATGACAATATCAGACTAAAATTGAATTCTTCCATTTTTCTTCATACAAATGTATAAAAGTTTGTCTTTGACGTTTGTCAAAAAATAGGTTTTTATTGAGATAGAATAAATTTTGACTGGCCGAAATATAAAAAAAATTTAATTCAAGACATAAAAAAATGTTTTGTTTAAAAGAAATCAAAACATAATCACAGGTTTTTCATAATTTCTGAGGGAAAAAATTAAAATAGTAAAATTTAATTTGCATTAGACATCATAGTGTATGAAAATATTGTATTTTATTTTAAGAAAAAGAAAAATCACTTGTCACAGTTCAGTGTTTTGAGATTTTTCCAGAGCTAGTCGGGTGTTGAAGCAAGAATTCCATTTCTCATGTGCCAATTAGCGCAAAAACAACTACCGTCGGTGGCTGGAGCAAAAAATAAAGCCGCTTGGCACGGCCGCACTTTTGGGTCCAGCTTTTGACAAGCTCGTCCGTTTCTCTCGTTCGGCGGAATTTCACGGTCACTGATTTCATTTGGCTTAATTTTTAGGCGCGCCGCCTTTCGCGCTCTAATATTAGCCGCGCACAACAAATGGGACAGCTATGAATGATGGTGGTCGAGCTAGGGCTGCTGAGAGCCGCTGGCCGCGATTGTGCCGTCGTCGTGCATCAGCAAAAAATCAGAACACATGCGGCAAAACAGCGGCAGGTGATGTCCCCAATAAATAAGGGCCGCCCCTACGATGATAATGTGTATAAATTTTTCCACACGCTTGCCCAAGAGACTCAAACAATTTCGGTCCTTTGATGTTTGGGATAATGGCAAGAAATAATAGACACTTCAAGTCGCAATTATTATAATTGGAACTAATTTTCAATTAATTATATTCCATTATGCAATTACATTCCAATTTGTGAGATAGTCTTAGAATATTGAGCTTTTGTTCAAACTTTATTTGGGGGAAAAATATTAAATGATAAAATTTAATTGATCAATTAAATTGTTGTTTATTTTTGTCATCTTTTCAATGAATCGAATTAAATGCAATAATTAAAAATATAAATTTTCATTTCAAAGCGAGAGCACTTTATTTAATACCTCCTAAAGAGCTTTTCTCAGTCAATTAGTTCAAACTTCCCGTCAACAAAGTCATTGTCTAGCAATTAAATGTTTAATGCAAGCTTTCGAAATGCACTTGCTTATTTTTGTTAAATTAATTTGATTGCGAGCCCAGCTGTTCCAGTTTCTCAAACGTGAGAGAGCCACAAGCATATCTACAGAAAAGATCACACTCGTTAACCCAGATTTGGAGACGTTTAGCGAAGAGTATTTCAGGAATTAGTGCTCGCGCGGGTTTGCATTTGCCTGCGAGATTGAATTAAGACTTAATTTTTTTGGTGAATTTCAAAAAGGATCTTACAAACAACTTCATTTATGTAGCAAAATCAAATGATGCAAATATAGAGTTTGGAGTTGTATGTGTGAAGTTGATGAAATTTTTAGTTCATAATTGTTAGTGTTGTCTCTTAATTGTGAAATATGACTAAAATTAAAGCTCTATCAACAACCTAAATATGATTAAATAAAACCTTGTCATTACACGTATAAAACAATTGAATTAAAAAATATTTTGGTAATGATGAGGCTCTCTGCAGGGATGGGGTTTTTTTAGATCTTGGAAGTTTTAGCAAAATTCTTGCTAGTGGTTTTCGCCAACAATTCTTTTTTTTTAAATAAATTTTTTTTCCAAAAAATGAAACAATGTGTTGTAACAATGTGCAATGCATATCTTTTAATTTAACATTGTCACTTAAAACACTTTTTAATTGAAATAATTTAAACTCATATCAGTGTTGTTTCTTCTAATGATACATTTTTAAGAAGAGACATTTGTTTGATATAAAATAATATAAAATTAAAAAATCTACAAAATCATAGTTCATAATTATGAATCTCGATTAAGAGCTATGATATTTTTAAATAAGAAAAATATATTTCTGTGAAAATATATACAACAAAAGAAAAATTTCCAAGTATTTAAATTAAATAAATTGTGTTTAAAAATAAAAATCCAAATTTACATTTAACCTTTCCCGAAGCTTCTTGTGACCAATTCTGACCTCACCCTTAATATAGCTTCACAAAGCAAAAGGCTTTGCGATGCGTCGCCGGTGAGGTGCGTGTGGCCGTCGCAACCAACATTTGTTGCCATCTATCAAGTTAAAATTCGCGTCTCAACACTTTAATTGTGTCCCCGAGGGCGGACGTGCGACGCTCTTTTGCGCGATTGACAAAGGGGTGTCCTGTGCTGCGTGAGGCAATTTTTAATTGAGACCGTATCAAAAATAATTTCGAAACAAATAACAGAGAATGAGAGAACAGGGCGCGTTCTTGTGCTTTTACGGGCCCATTAAAAAAGAAGCAGCCACCGCCGGGGCTCCGATTTCTTTTTCTGCGAGGATTAGGACCGTAAAATACACTTTACGCAAGCCGAATTTAATTCTCGCCCGTTGGCAAATGGATTATTTTAATTACATAAAATTAACTCGGCACTTAACTCGTTCCGCTCGTACGAGTGTGTGTTTTGCTTTGTTTTGTTTGGGCGGCTGTTGTTGTCCGACATGAGAGAGATGTGTTGATCTTGCTCTCTGCTCGGCCGATATTAATCAAAACTTGCGCGGTCAGTGCACTCGCGGAGTGCATTTTTGCTGTTAAGTAAGAGGCTGAAAAACGACGCAGCAGACGGCCTCTAGAAATAGCATGCAAGCCACTCTAGAATAGATTGAGTGATAGCACGTCGGCTTGCGGCACAGCAACATGAGACTTTCCATAATTTTGCAGAAATATAATCTTATTATGACTTTGGAAACGAACTTATGACTCGCTCAGTTAAAATCTGATGAATTTTATTTAGACAGAGGTAAATCTTGCCAAAAAAATTAATGAATATTTAATATATGC